ATGGGGCTAGGTTGCGGGGGGTGAGATGTGGTATCAGGTTGCACGGCTTACAAAATTTTGCTATGGGGCCCTGTGATTTCTAGTTACGCCCCTGCTGCAGAGTACTAAATATTAGTAAGAAAAACACACTTTACAGCTGGCTCCTATACTAGAGAGGGTGACCTCATGATCCCTGTAGCAAGATAATTGAAATGGAGTGAAATGGAGATTCCAAATATCACAAGAAGACATTCCTGTACAGTGCTGGGGTGTCTTCTAGCAATATCTGGGATCCTCAGTGTCCCCAAGATGTAGCCAGAAGCATTCTGATGGCAACCTGGCCCAAGCGCTGCAGGCAGAAGCCAGTTCTATGGTTTTCTTTCTTTTTACCCACAGTTGTGTTTCTTACAGCTATCTTGCTGTGATTTGAGATGGGTGAGGGGGGTGGGGGTTGATGTAATAAGCAGACCTTGCATTTTATGCAAGATCTCCTTTAATGTTCCTAATAACTCCAATGGATTTTGGTAAAATTTCTCTGAAATCTTCCAACTTTTGCCAACTTTCAGTTTTACTCATTCCTAGAAGAGATCTCTGAAGTCACACAGGGAAAACCCTGGCAGAAATGGTAACTTATCCCTACTCTATTCAAAACTAAACATTGACTGGAGTTGGGCTATTGTAGCAGACAATACAAAATGAACAATTCATTGAAAATGTCAATTTTTTATATTTATCTTTATGTTATAAAATGTAGCCATAGGAGGAGTGAGTTACAATTCACAAAGCTGACACTGCTATACTGCTATTTGACTACTCAGCAGAGGGAGAGGCTCAAATATGGCTCAAATCACTGGTATTAGTGACTCATCCTTCCTTCCATGTGGCTGCAGCAAATCTAATCCATACACAGGCTGCATGGAAAACCAGCTGGGCACAGGCTATTTTAATAGAGTGAGGTCATGTGTCTAAAGAGAGCATCTGATTGGATAGTATATGCCCACAAAACCCCTCTTATGATTAAATTGGGTGCATAACGTTTGGGAGTTGGAATAAACCTAAGTCATTCTAAAAAAATATATATATACAGGGAGTGTTCAATGTTACTTCACCTATATATTATTCCTTAGTTTGCTATTAGCCATCATTGTTTAATGACTGACCGTAGCCCAAGTTCGTGTGTACATTTGATTGTGTGTCTGTCTGTCTATCTTTTCTAGGTTACTCTAATGGTGAGTTTTCCTTTTTTGCTGTAATGGTCAATTTTCCATGTTTGCTGTTATGGTGCTTTTTCCATATGATCTCCATACAACTGATGTATTTTGCATATTAATTTGTCATAGAGCATTCAAACTGGCCTCTTATATGGTAAATCTATTTTTATGCAAAGTATTATAGCTTTTTGTGTTTGGATGCAACATGTCATCTAAAAAAAGTAGATGCAGCCATTTGAGCGGTGAACGAAATGAAACCTGTTAGCAGGAATCTAGAAACGTTACAATGGTTTAATTCTCAAAATGCTTCCTTCCAATATTCACTTTTAATGTCAATGTCTACACTAAGGGGTGTCTGCAAATAGAAAGCAACACTAGAATATCTACCAATCAGAATTAATTACTGATCTGACTTCAGAAAAAAAATAATCTGGTTTTGGTAACTGCAGATCAACGTTGCTTTTTTTCCATTATTTACTGAATAATTATTTTAGGTTTATAACAGCTTGTATACATTATATTTGTGATTTCAAGCAGCAACATTTTTGTCAAAAACTTGTAAACATGACATATTGCATTTTACATTACTGAGGTGTTTAGATCAGAAGAAAATACTGTATATACATGTATACAGGATATTTTCCATCTTCAGCAAGACAGGGAAACAGCCCTGTATTCAAATTTGTGCTTTCTCATTAAAAGTAGAAAACCTCTGTAAAGTAAATGACTGAGCAAAATGAAAGAACTATGTCAGTATTTCCATAGATCTCAGCAAAACAACCTCCTCCCCACCTCATCTCCATAAGATAGGAGGGTGGTGTTCTTTAGTCCAGTAGTGGAATACTAACAGTGTTATTCACAAAGCTGCCGAATGCAGCCGACTGAAAAACCCAACCAAAGTGAAGTGAGCCGAATGCTGTTCGGCTATTCACTTAAGGCTTGTACAGCCATACACCAGCTGAAATAAGCCATATATCGGCTAGCTTTGGCCACACTTTGGTCAGCCGAACATGCTCTGCATGTTCGGCTGAGCCGAAGTGCAGAAGGACTTCAACTCAGCTGATCCAGCATCTGGATCAGCTGAGCTGAAGCTCCGGCAGGCTACTCGCTGCTGTTCGCCCCTATTCTCATAGAAAATCAGTGAAAAACAGTAGAAAAAAAAAGTAGAAAATACATGTTTAAAAATGTAAATAAATGATAAATGTAAAAAAAAAAATATTTGTTTAAAAAACAAAAATTGGGCGGAGCTAGCAGTGACAGCTAGCTCCGCCCAACTGTTTCCTATTGGCCGGCACCTGCTAGAGCCTTCCAGCAGGTTCCGGCCAATGAATAACAACTGGGTGGAGTCGGCCGTGACGTCACGGCAGACTCCGGCCAGTTGTCATTGTTTATTGACAGTTTAGCATCCCCAGGTAAGCTGATCTGTCATTGCAACTGGGCAGAGCCTGCCGTGAGATCACGGTTGGCTCTGCCCAGCTGTTAGCTGCCGCCCTGCTTCAGTTCAGTCGAGCCGAAGCATATGCCTTCAGCTTGCCTGAGCCGCTCGGCCGCCTTCGGGAGCTGTATGGGCAATATTGGATAGCCCGTACAGCAGCCCTTCGGTTCGACTGAACCGAAGGACTCCGCCGGCCGAAGCTAGCTGAAGGATCAGCCGGAGCTACAGCTCATCCTTCGGTTGGTTCTGTGAAAAACCCTCTTACTTTCAACTATGTTTGGGATTTCAATGAAACTGAGGCAGCATTGTCAGCTCACTACAGGAAATTAGAAACTAATTGCATATCTGACAATATCATCAGGTGTTCTAAATTTGCAACATTTGTAAAAATATAAACCATTGGGATATATGTATGTATTGCAGAGATGTACTATATATATCTTCTTTTTTTTATTTTGCTCAGACTTACACTTTAATTAAAGTAAGTTATGGGTAATTGTAATATCAAGTGGCTGGCTGTCTTGAGGTTCATGATATATGTATATATAGATATAGATATATATATATTTATTTTTGATCAATATTTTGTTCTGACATACACTCAACATTAAATGCAGCTATTCACTTGCAACTGAAATAAAATGTAAGGCACACAATTACCTGGATAGCCGCCAACATAAACTGGATTACTCGTATCCGCAGAGGTAGATTGGACATGAGGGCTGTCAGTCAGAATTGTGTTTCCATCGACTTTGAGGACAATTTTGTGCTTTATCTTATTGGCGTTAACCTGGTGCCATTCGCCATCACAAAGAGAGTTTGCTTGTTCTGGCTTATAAATTGCTGTTATTCTTCCAGCACCATTGTTTACATGGAACAGAACCTGGAAAATATGATACATAGAAAACTTCAACTTCTATAGATTAATAATCATTTACAAAAAGAGAAAATAAGAAAAACTGCAGCTGTTTTTGGAAAGATCTCTCTAATAATATAAGAGCTGTCCTTATATGACGTGTTTTACAGTGTCATTTTATTTGCATACTGCCTGCTTTTAAAATGGTTTTCCCACCTCCACCCTTCCATATTGGTTATAGGTAGGCAAAAGTTGTCAAAAGGTAAATACTAGATTTCCACTTAGAAATGAACTTACCCTGCCATTAACAATTTCCAGACCAATGGCATCCACTTTGGCACTACTAATTCCGAGAAGAACGGCATTCCTTGCAGTAGTGCGGAATTCTAGAGATATGTTTAGATCAAATCGCACTTTGTATCCTTCTTTTACTAAACAAAACAAAGGGTAAACATGTATATTAATAAATTATCCTCATTACAATTACATTAATTTTAATAGTATTGTTTAAAGTTTCTTCTACTGCCTCTTTTTTTTTTACAAATTTACGTTAAATAGAACTTACTGAGTAGCCAACAATATATATTCAAATTTCATAACGCCCCAACCGTTTTTGTATTATTTTATTATTCTCATGTCCTGTTGATGTACCTTTAATAAATAAACAACTGATTCATTAAAATTAAGTGCTACTCATAGCTATGTAAACTGTTCAGTTGTATTTGGCTGGTAATTTTCTATTCCTTGTTATCAAGTGCAAGTGACACCAATTTAATGTTAATTATATATATGTGTGTGTGTGTTCATTCTATCCAGCAACTCAAGGGCTGAATAAAGCAAGGTTTATACGTTTTAGATTTGCACTTTGTACTGCCTTCTTGAACAAGTCTAGTAATGTCACTCCAACAATAGCATTGACAAAATGAATTGAATATAAGTGGCATTTACCTAAAGCAGCAAATCCTGTCCCATCAAAGTATGTTCCTTGTTGTGCCGAGACGTAACATTTATTCGCACCATGTATAGACAGGGCTCCTTCTCTATTCAACCGCTTGCCATTAACAGAAACATTGCTGATGCATGCTGGGATACTGTGGGTTACCTGAACATCAAAAAACAGATGGGTCAAAACATGGTCTGCTATTCCCAAATGCTAGCATATTAGCAATCCTGCTTATGCTAAACAACTCTCACAATAATGTCAGATGTTTTACAAACAGACCTGAAGACAAATGGGTAAAGTCTATGTACTGTATATACTCGAGTATAAGCCGTCCCAAATATAAGCCGAGGTACCTAATTTTACCACAAAAAACTGGGAAAAAGTATTGACCCGAATATAAGCCGAGGGTGGGAAATGAGGCAGCTAATGGTAGATAGATACCAATAAAATTACATGAATATTTATTTAAAAGAAGACTGCAAAGAATTGTATTGCAGAGGACACAAGAACGTCATGAAAGACTCCTAGAGAGAGCCAGGTTTGGCTGGGCTTATGCATGAATCTGAATGTTCAGTCTTAAATTATTATAGCCGAGTAGGCTTATTTCTTAAAGCTGAACTCCGGGATAAGTAAATATTATCTAAATAGAAGAGGGATGAATATTTCTACTTGAATCTTGGTCTAATTTGTGGATTTCTTGCACATCTGTGCAGAAATCCAGCATGAAACTTTGCCTCTCTGCCAGAGCTTCTTGTATTAAAGACCAGTCACAGCTGCTCTCTCTCTCCTAGTACAGGGTGACTGGTCTCGTATGTGCCCCCCTCTTCTATTTTTCTGCAGACAGCCTGTGGTGGGTGGGGTCTGCTGCTTCCCTCCCACAGATCTGCTCTCTGCACAGGCTGTGTACGGCAAAATGATGATGTCACTGCTACTCTATATGGTAATAACTGGGTTTATAGAGGTGTTTGGTGCACACAAAGTGGATTTCAATCCTTTGTGTATATTAAGGAATATATTTAAATGAACGTTTTGGACCAAGAGTTCACCTTCAAGTAACTGCATTTAACACTATCCATTGTTTGTGTTATAATAGTATCTAATAACATGTTTGAAGGAATTGAATTTATTACCAAGATGTGTTATAGGGCCTTGTTATACCCTCTTAAGAGTTTATTTATTATTGGCATTTATACAGTGCTGACAATTTACACAGCACTTTTACATCGGCCCCTGCCCTCAAAGAGCATACAATCAAAGGTTCCTAGCTTACATGCACACAGGGTCGGTTTACACAGGAGCCAATAAACCTTCCAGCATGTCCTTGGAGTGTGGGAGGAAACTGGAGTACCCGGAGGAAACCCACGCAAGCACAGAGAGAACAGGCAAACTCCTTGCAGAGAGTGACCTGGCCAGGATTTGAACCAGGGACCCAAGTACTGCAAGGCAGAAGTGAAAATCACTACGCCAAGTTGTATATGAGGTCAGGTAGTTGACAATACAGCATTATTACATATTTCTATAATTTTGTCTAAGTATACTGTGCAGAGAGCAGCAAACTATGGGACCGCTTTTTAAAGTGTTCAGTGTATGGTACATTACTGCCACTAGATGGAGCCAAGGAGCATAGGAAATTCCTTTACTCCTTGGCTCTATCTAGAGGCAGTAATTCCCTTTGAATGGCATTGACCCAGTTATACGCTGAATGAGCACTTTATAATTCAGCTCCCATGTGCATCACAGATAGCATTGACCTTTCAGTATTTTGCTTTTCCCAATTCATATCATCCTATAGAAATCTTTAACACTGCTGTATGGGCTAACAGATATGTATGAGGGGGGGGGGGGGGGGGGGTAGTACTGAGTAAACAGTCTAGTCCCATTCTTTTTGTTTTGCCGCCTGAAGCAATTTATATATTATTCACATTCTTCTGTAAGTATTATCAATATAGAGAAAGAACAATCAATCATTTATCACAAGTCTCACTTACATTTCCAATGTTTTTAGCTGTGTAGCTTGGTGCCAGCCCACCCAGGTACAGCTTGCCTTCCACATCTAGACTGTTGCTCTCACCAGGAGTGCTGGTGGACGTGGCTTCTTGACCGTCCACAGTAATTGTACTTTTCCTTTTAATGTATTCTGTGGAAATCTATAAAGAAGAGTGAACATAACTGTGACTCATTACATTTTACAAATGTCATATTATGTATTACTAAAATAGCTACAAGTTATCTCAGGAACAAAAGGAAGCAATTTATGTATCAACACAGCTAGCAGTGCATCTTCTCAGCAGTGCCACAGAGCTACTGCAGTTGAACAACTCTAGACCTTACTTATCCAGCTGATTACAAGCAGAACTGTTTGTGTTGACCACAGTAGCTGGACAGATTTTCTTCCTTATCTTCCATGAACATATAGGATTATGAAAAAGGAAGAATACATGTTGCCGTAGGCAAGTTCCTCCTTCACATAACTTTGATACATAAGGCCCTATGGTCTGTACTGCTATACAACTTCAATATCGAATATGCAAGCTTGTTTTCAGTAAAAGAAAATAAATTTTTTCCAGTTAAAGCCAAGCTATAAACCCACAGGAAAACATAGTCTATCAGTCTGCCCCTCGGCTATGTAATTTTCTTCCTTTATTTCAATTGATAATCATATTTTTGATGTTGTGCATTTCCTTTTTCTTTTCCTTTAAGCGTATCAGTTACATTTACGCAGATGATGGCAGCTGATCTAGGAACACAGAGCTACACAGAAATAATGAGATGAACTGGTTAAGAGAGTCAGCACTTAATGTATTATAAATTACTCATTAGGTTTAATAGCAGGCATTTAACAAAAATCCCAACTGTATACTAGAGTAATATTGAACTAAATCCTCCTGTTTCTGAGAATGATTGAGCCAGTCTTGCCCATTTACATCCTGCAGTGCAGATTTTAAAGGGCCACTAAACATAAATTATAAACTAGCTATCATGAAAGAGGCTTTAATGATGTGAACAGAGAAACACATATGCTTACAGTAAAGCAGTCTTGTTAGAAATATGAAATACTACTTTTCTACATATACTTTTATTTTTAAAGGATTTCATTTTTCTAAAGCTATTTCAAAATAAAATAGGCATATAGCAGCATTTATCTAGGGGATCACTGCAGAGTATGCCACATGCGGGTGGGAAACACTGTATATCTTCATTGCTGATAAGCAGACAACATATGATGTAAATATGCAGTTGACACTGCTGGTTCTCGTTTGTTTAGTCATTGGTTGTTGTAGTTCCGTTTCCCTGGTTGTCATTCTCATGCTACAGCTTCACAACTTAAAAGAGATTCTAACTCGAAACAAGCATTCCAGTAAGGAATTCCATCATCCCTGACTCTACTATCTGAGGTGCTGATAAGTCACATAAAGAAGACCTGTTATGATACATATGGGAGCAGTCATTGCTACTTCTTTAACTTGCCATGCCATGATCACCACTTATGAAGAAGCGAAGGAAGAAATCCTGATCTACATGCTTGTTTTTAGTCAGGGCCTCACTAAGTAGTGTAGCTAAAAAACAGAGAACTAGAAACTAACCATGGCTGTTCACATGTTTCCATCATCACAGGTCTACTAATCAGCACTGGAGATACATGGGGCAGTGGGCAGTACTGTGCCATGTCTTAGTAAATCAATAATAAAATTATAAATAAAAAAAACTTACTAAGCATGTAGCCATTGACTGTATGTACCAATGCACAAGCTTTAGCATAAGCATGAACGCCAAGGAATTAGCAACTAGCAGTTCCCAAATTCAGAATGACAGGTCTGCTTTACAAGTCTAATCAGCACTAACAATACTTGAGACAGTGGTGGTATTGTGAACTAGGAGATATTTCTCCTACTTTTACATGACTTCCTGTCAGTGATTCCATATGGAAATACTGCTTAAGGGGGAGATGCTGGTGCTCAAGATTAAAGGGGGGTTGGCAGTGCTTGTGTGTAGGTGGTGGTGCACATTGGTTTGGTGCACAGTACCTCTGTCCAGCTCACTGATGTCACTGGCTGCCAGGTGCTGGGTGGGGTGCCAACCAGTTCATCATGCTCAGCTCCTGGCAACCAGTGACGTTAGGTTATTGAGCTGGGCAGGATGCTGACCCGAACATCACAGGTTACTAAGAGTTCTTAGCAACCTGGAACGTTCTGGCTGGAAAGGGAGCAGCAGGCACACCTGCCCCCCCCCCCCACCTTGTGACCCAATGAGATGCCGCCTGAAGCAACCTCCTCAGACTGCCTCTTTAGAGGGACGGCCATGGCTATAGGTGTTTTACATACATATTACTCTATGCTATGTTTAATTCATTTATATAAATCTACTATTTAAGGTTCACTGATCTTGCAGCAATAAAACATACTGTGTGCCATTTGCCATCATTGATCAGAACCGGGTGGATGGTCTCAGTCTTTCCTTTTCCCATATCGAATAAGAAGTGAAGTTTTCCGTCATGGAGCTGTAGCGCAGCATAGTCCATCTGGTTTTGGTGAGCCATATAGTAGATGAGGCCACTTGTGGCATATGCCCTCAGGGTGAGTTGGACGGACAATCTAGAAGGAAAATGGCATATTTATTAATCACTGACGAACAACATTTTCTCATCAAGTGTGATTTATGTTAGCTGTTCCCATTTATGATGAATACTAACATCTGCTGAGATTACAGCACACATATTACCTCTGATCTGAAGCTGAGCTGACCAGCTGGATTGATCATTAAACTACATTTATTATAAATTGTAACCTGCTTATCAAAAATCATGGAAAGATTACACAAGAGGGGAATAAGATTTTAAGAAATGTGTGAACTAATTAATTAAAAGGTAATTCCATTTTAAACTGATCACACAGTGTACAACACCTCTAAAATCACCAGATCTCCCCTGCATGCTAATGTGGGCAGCTATATGCAGGCAACAAGGCCACGTGATAGTTGCAAAGGAATGCAGGAAGGAAGCTAGATCTATGCAAAGCTTTATTTTAAAGCTGACGTTTAATTGACTTTGCCTTCCCTGGTTTCTCCTCATCAACATGCTAATACATTTTTAAAATAAAACCTTTCCATTTACATTGTATACCTTATATAAGGTTTACCGATGTCATCACTGACTCTCTGTGCTTATCTAAGCAACACAGGCAGATCATGGCTGGTGGGAGGGGCCAGCAGGGTAAAGAACATAGCTTCCTGAAACCATCACAGCACACTGCCTTAGTACCCCACTCAAGAGCCCTGATGCAAGCAGGGCACTGGCTCTTGGGAGGATTTATGTAAATATCATAATGCCTTGATGGGAGCATGTCAGTCTGAGAGAGTTGGTGTTCCTAAGCAGGATTCATTTGCATGCAGACTGCCCTAGGTAATTACTACATGTGATGCTGAGCATCCATGATTGGATTGAAATGAAATTAATGAAGGTGGAGGGCCAGGGACAGTCAGGCTGGGGAGGAAAGCACTAGATGATGCTGGATGTCCTCCAGCCAGGACATAAGATGGGCTCTATCTGACTTGCTGCAGCTTCTAAAGCACAATTTAAGAAGCTTACAGTGTGCAGTGAAATCAGAGTAAGCTATTTCAGGCCAGGGGAGGAGCCTGTAGAATGCTACAGGACTGAAGGTAAGGCTAGTTCTGCTTTAATATGTCAGCAGGTGATCAGTCCTACCAGTGTCTACCTGACTACTCAGTGTTTGGTAGCCTTACCCCTGTAAACCATTTTCTTAAAAAATCTATCATACAGAAATATTACATAACAAAGACTAAGCTTATTCATAACAGCAAATCTTCAGGTGTACAACTTTCAGCACATTTACAAGTAAATAAGTACAAAGATCAGTAAACCACTTTCATATTTCTATGATCTAATGTACTTACTTTCTTCTGACTGCAGACTGGTCAAATGGCAAGAGCATATGACTTCCAGTAGTGAGGCCAAACTGGTAAGCGTCAGGTACATAACCAGGCAGCACCTCCTGTGCACACTGAACTGCCTGTAAACACACCATAACAAAACAGCATTAGTTTAATCTATGCAAAGCACAGAGTTGCGTGTAAATGCAGTGCTTTCTAAATCTGTCTAAATCTGTAAATTAAATTCTTAATTTAAGTATAAGCACACAGTGTGTTAAAGGAGAAGCATTGGGAAACTAAAATATACTCTTCCCAATACATAGAGCTGATGGGGGACACTGCAGCTATCACATGCCAGCTCTATACTGAGAGCTGAGTGATAATGTACCAATGATCGGCTTCTCCCTTAAGACAGCAGATACCGTCAGTCACCACTCCCCACAGGAATTCCCTCCTCCCCTCTCTGTTCCTCTGGTGCTCATTGGAGGCACAGACAGGTGAGGGGGCGGGTACAGATGGCTCTGGCTCTAGAGAGCCAGGGCCAGCTGTCAATCAGGCTGACCGGTGGATCCCGACAATATTGTTGGGACCTTTCCCGGCTGTAGTGCGGCTGTGCACTGCCAACATATAGCAGACATTAGCCCCCTATATGCTGACTTTGGGTCACAGGAGTACATTAGTAAACATACTTCTGTGGCGCAAAATGGAAGTAAAGGCAAGATGTTTGGCTTTACTTCTCTTTTAGGTTGCGCTGCCAAGTCACCAATAACTATCAGTATTATAAATCTATAAGTTGGATTCAAAACCCATTAGCACAGAGCAGAATAAAATACAGCATAACAGCAAATACAGTAAACTCCCATTTATCCGACACCCATGGGGTTTGGTAAGTGCCGGATAACTGTACTTTCTGGTTGCTTGAGAGTTAATAGTGAGCATGCAACTTGGAAGAACTCAGAGAGTTCTCTCTCAGGTCTGCTCCTCTGCTCAGTGGGAGGGTACACTCAATAGCCAATAGCAGGCTGGATATTGCTCCCCATTGTTTACATTCCGGTTCCGGCCCACGAAATCAAGCCGCTGTCCGACAGCAAGATATAAACAAAGAATTTAATTAGCAACTAAATGCATTTAATGTACATTTTAAATAAATGTAATAACTAAATAATAAGCCACCAGCCATATTATGTCCTCGATTTTTTTGCCGGTTGCTTAAGAGTGTCGGTGGCTTGAATGCCAGATAATGGAGAATTGAGTGTAGTATCATCTGCCGAATAATAATGTACTTATGAATTTTATATTGCTCATGTCATTATCACAAAACAGTTGTACATTAAAAGAGAATAATTGTATTTTCACAGATTGGGCTCCAGTCCACCATGCAATGGAAGCAACAGCAGGTTCTGCTATCCATTACCTGGGAAATAAGCCTCACACTAATAAGAATTTCTATGTAAATAAGTGAACTTTGTGCAAACACAATCTGTTAAAAACACTCTGCAACTGAACCTGTTCCTCAACTTTTGTTCACCAACAAAACCTGCTGCTTGTTTATAGATTATAAAATATCCTTGTAGAGAAACGACACCCTTCCGAAAACCGAGTCAAGGGTTTTGTCAATGTAAACACATTCCTCTGCTTTACCTTAGTGGCATACGATTTCTCTAAGGGTGTGGTCAGCGTTAATTTCCTTTCTGTGACGGGCGCTATCACTGTCGGTTGTGCGTCTGGTTCTTCATTGCTGATGGCAGGTTTCTCTGTCAGCATGCAGCTATCCATTTTGACTTTTTCATACTTTATAACAGTGGTGAAATCCAACTGCCTAATTAATATGACAATTGAAATAATGATTAATTAGATTACTAAAAGAATAACTATGAATAAAGTGACAAATCATATTACTGAATATCGTGTACAATTAATGTGTGTTACAGAAGTAGAACTCCTCCTGCATTCACCTTAACAAGCCTGCTGTCAGGGACCAGGACACCTCCAGGTGGCACCCTGGAGCTGGAGCAGATCCTGCATTTCCAGTGCTCACCTGCAGGTGCCTCTGGGCAGTCAGTAGCTGTCTGGCACTTGAGCAACTCCAGGTTGCACTGTGACGATGTAACCAGGACCTGCAGCTCCAAGGCTCACCTGCACATGTCTCTGCAATTAGGCACCACCTGCTGATGATCTGGGAGGGTATTTAATCCCTCCCTGCAGTGAGCCTGGTGCCCCAGTATCAATGCCATTTCCTATATCCTGTTCCCTAAGACCTGTATCTTGTTTCTTGTGACCTGATTCCTGTGACCTGATTCCTGTATCCTGTTTCCTGCATCCTGGTGCCCCCTTATACCCTCACCATTGCTCCGTGGCTCCCCTTGTGTTGCCTTGCTCCGCAGGTTTCACATGCCCTGTTGTCTGTGTTTGCATTTGCATTTAGTCAGCTGTTATTACTTGTGGGTGTTGGTGGGGTTGTTGGTGTTTACATGATTTCGTTGTGTCTAATAAACTGTACATTCATAAGCTTACAGGCATTGTCTGGTGTGGTCACGCATTTGGTTCTCCCGTGTGGGTACCTACATGCAGTGTGGAGACACCCGCCCACCGTATCCTGACACGTGCTGAGTTCACAGCATGACGGTTTATACAGTATACAGTTCCCTGAGTGTTTGTAGCAGTGTGAATAGACAATCTGTTGACTAAAAGTATTCTCGCTGTGTCTGAGAGCCATAATGGGGTTTGGAAACATTTCTCCATATGGACCATTGTCCCTTGACTGGAGTACATATTGGTCACAGAAACTTAAGGGTCATGGTTCATGTACCTAGTGTCATAGTTTATTCCATGGCAATTTAAGATTTGACAGAATTCCACAGCTGACCTTTCCATTATAGGAGATTTAAACCCAAGAACAAATTGTAACATGCTGCAGCTTTCCAGTTCTTAGATGTGGCAGTTTTATTAGTTTTAATTGTTCAGCCTAAAACATTTTCAGCAAGTACAGAAAATACCTGTTGATCTTGCCAAAATGCTGGGTCCTTGTCACTCCCTGTGAACTAAACTGAAAGAAAAAACAATTGTTTCTTCCTTTTGTGGAATACTAATCCCCCACCCACCATGTAATAGAGATGAAGAAATGAAAACATGCTTGAAGTCCAATCTGGGTGGCAAACTTGGCTCCCTTCATAGATACAGTGGAGGAGCGAGCATAGCCAGCCAGTCACATAAAGTGTGTTACTGGCAGGATAACCAGATTTTAAAAAAAGGTAAACGCATCAGAAAAAAAGAAAACGAATGCAGCCACCACATCTAGGGACTGGCAATCTGCAATTTATTAATTTTGAGTTTAGATATACTTTAGAGCACGGGTGGGCAACTCCGGCCCTCTAGGTGTGCTTTAACTACAAATTCCATCATGCATCTGCCTCTGGGAGTCATGCCTGTAAGTGTCACTCTTGCAATGCCTCATGTGACTTGTAGTTCCACAACAGCTGGAGGGCCGGAGTTTCTCACCACTGCAAAGGGTATTTGTGACACTTACTGAAAGGTAGTGTGTTTCCTGTGGCTTCAGTATCTTTTGATTTTTTTTTTCTTTACACAAAAACACTAGGAAGCAGTTTTATATTGTACGGCCCCCTTAACAAATTTCCACTGCCGTTTAACAGCAATAGCAATTAATGTGTAAAAAAACCCCCCAAACTTCTGTTTTCGGGTGCACATAGCTCTAAATGTGTCTGAGATGAATACAAACATCCAGCTAGATGGAACATATGGCAAGAATAATGATCTGTAGCACATATAGAAATAAGACATGTGCTTAGGATGCAGGGAATGTGCATATTTCCTTTCCTTGATCGCCCCTGGGAGAAGCCATGACTCAAATGTTGACAAATAATCATTATGGTTGCCTGGTTTTCCTGTGTAGCTCATTTACAAAATGACTACTTAGCAGATCAAAGTCGGAACATTCAGCCAATAATGCCTGACCATGCATGACAATGCTTCAAATATGTTCAACTGCGCATATGTACAACATGGTTATGAATTACTAGCTGAATCTAGAATTTATCTGTAAAGCTTTGCATTGACATGTTCACTTAAAATACATTGAATAATGATAACTCTGCATCAGAAAATCTCAATGAAATAAGGAAACCCATACAGATTACAGTATTAAACTTACTCCATATTTAAAATCAAATTCTGAATGCATCCGTAGAAAGACTGGCTTGTCCTGAGCATGGTGGCGCCCATTTTTCCAGGAACTCCACCAATGAAAAAACGAAAAGCATTTATGGCAACTAAATCCACAGATGGACCATTGAGTTTCACCTCTGCTGGTTTCCCTTCATCAACTTGCACACTCACAAATCTAGAAAACAAATGACGATATGTTAGTTGTACTGAGAATAACCAAATGTAGGTAGTGAGGGTGGAACAGCTTTAATACAAAAATGGCCTGCACAGCAAGAAAGAATTCCATACAAACATTAAGTTGATTCATAATACAGATTTATAGTAACTTGCCCTTCATGTAGTCTTACAGCTGAACATTAAATAAATAAATACAACATATACAGTAAACTCTCTTTTATCCGGAAATTCAACCAACCAGAACTCTCTAACCAGAAAAAAACACCCCCTGTGTACGTGTGTACTAATACTGTGTATTATCATGGAAATGATCATGTGCCTATTTGTCCTAATTTGTTTTTGATTACTGCATTTCAATATTATGATGAAGTCATTACATAGTTTATGGTGTATATATATATATATATATATATATATATTTTTTTTTTCTATCTTGGTGCCGAAGCTAGCCGAAGGATCGGCCGAAGCTACGGCCAGATCCTTCGGCAGCTTCGTGAATAGACCCCCTAAGACATTAAGTGAGGAAAAAGTGCCCTACGCACACACACAACAATTAATGCCTAAAAGACAACCTAACCCTTACACACGTGTTTTGGCCATACATTGCTTGAATTTCGAGCTGTGTGCAACCAGCTTAAATCAGTTGACAAAATTTGATTGCTCAATTTTTCTTCATTTAAACAAAGTAATGGCCATTACCTTTAATAAAAAAGTCAAATACCTTTTGTTGCGAAGAAGAATAATGGAATGTTCTTGACCGTCACTATAGGTCCCAGTAGGTGATCTGATGACTGTCTTTCTTGTGCTTGCTCCATCCAGAGGATTAATGTGTAATTCAATGTGGCCGTTTATCAGCATTAAAGCAAAAAATGGCTTGGTTGCATAAAAAAGAAAAAAAAAAGTTTCAGTATGACAAGGTTTAGAAATTAAACTGACTTTGTGTTTGTCCATGCGTGGCAAGGCAACGGGTTCACTTTAATGTCGATCTCCACAGCTGTTTACTCTTCCCTCCACTTCCTTTACCATGACACTCACCAGCGGGAGCATTGAGCAGAAGCCCAAGTTCAGGCTTGCACAGGACTTAAGAGTCTCTCTCCGACCCCATATGACAGCACTGGATGCCTGAGTGGCCAATAACCAAACACTTGTGCTGTCATATGGAAAGGAGAGAGAACGAGTCACATTCTCCCCAATACAAGGAATTACTGGGTATGTCACATTGCTTCCCTGGGTGAACCAAGAAAGTATAAGGTGCTGCATGAGCCAATATTATAGTAAAATGGTTGCTTAACCATGCATGGGTATAACAGATTCATGTTAATATTCCACCATTTCCCCACATGCTGTAAACACAGAAGGCAATTTTTAGAATGTTTCTAGGGCTATAATACAATAGAGGTAAACTATAATGGTCCTGGGTCAATTTAGTAGCCTAGTTTATATAGTTAATATGTTTTTAAACTGATGCGTATACTTCTTTGCTTACCAAATATATTGCAATACAAAAAATGTCCATGGTACTAATGGTTACATTGGGAGACAGCACCACAAAAGTAGCTCACTTTCAGACACAGCTGTCTCTCAGTGAAACTTTGTATTGAGCGGTCTGAATAAAGAAGCATTGGTCTGATTTATTCAGTTCTGTCTAAATTTCACCTTGAGCTATTGAGCTCTGTACACAGACTTTTTTTCAATAGGTGGTAGGAAGAGAGAGCACTGAACCCACAGACCGCCTGCCATCTGGATAAAAAAAACACTGCATACTGTTTACATTTAATAGTTTCACTTTCTAAAAATAAAGAAATAAAGAGAAAAAAATCATAATAAATGGTAATAAACATGTATAAAACTAATATAAATTTCTTAGTATAGAAATGCTACCTCCTAAAACTGTTACTACTCGCACATGACTTATCACAGCCAAAGGTGAAAGAACATATTACCATACAATCTGACTTATATTTGTAGGGCTAGTTTAAATGAAGACACAGTTGATATTCATTCACATTACATTTGCCATTAGTTAACACTGACTTGTAAATGAAAATAACTAATTGATCATAAAAGCCCATAAACATTCAGAGCCAATTCTAAAGCTTAAAGTGACACTAAACTCAATTAAAACTTAAAAATGCAATGATGTACCTTAACTATTATCACAAAAGTAGCTTATTTGTGCATCAATTAGCTGAATTAGCTAGATCCTCAAATCATCTCTGAATTGGTGCTGACACTGTGCTTCCTTCTGGAAGGTGGCTACTTTTGTTCCCCATGGTCCCCCTGTGTGTTTGTAAAGTAGCCACCGCTCCAAGCTCGCTCCCATGATGCACTAAATTTCAATACAAATTAGTAAACTAAACATGAGATTGTAGTCCATCAGGGGAGTGAGCTTGGATCAGTGGCTACTTTACAACACACACAGGGACCATGGGGAACAAAAGTAACCACCCTCCAGAAGGAAGGACAGTGTCAGCATAAATTCAGAGACGGTTTTGAGGATCTACAGCCAAGTGACAGACAAATAAGCTACATTTTTCCTAATAGTTAGGGTTGCATTTTTAAGATTTAGTGCCACTTCAACAAGTGCCAAAAATGAGTGTGATATAATAATTCTATACATAGGATATTTACCACCTCAGTCATTGAGCTAATAAATCTTTCTGATGATTGATGCTAATTTTCAAAAGCGAACGAGATGGGGGAAACAGTAATACTTTTATTCCCTCCCTTTTGAGTTGGATATTTGACATCTAAAGTGCAGGCGTACTTGAAAGGGCAACAATTCATGTGTTGACATAGTAATATATGCATTTGAAAATTACCATGGCAGGAATTGAACAGTCTGCAGCAGCACAACATACAGGTCCATAGATACACGGAATATAGAATAAGCCTGTGGCTCTGTGACCTTGTTATACAGAGTGATTAGGCATCAGGCTCTGCCTCAGGTTATTGAAGTCTGAAATCTAATTTCACAAAATGCCTGAGGCTTTGTCAAACAGCAGTAATTCTCTCAGAAAATGCCTTCAATGTGAAATCACACATATACTGAGCTATTGCATTCTATGCAAAACTATGAGTGAGGTTTTTCTGCACACCAGGGCAAATATGACCTCTTCACTATATACTGTATGCAGATTTACACGTTTAAAGGTAACTCTAAATTATCTCAGAATGGTCATGTACAGTGTGCACAGACTGACCATCTCATAATGTCTCCGCCCTATACAGCTACACTGGTTGCACGAGAGTTTAGAAAATGGAGGAGATAGACACACAGACAGTGCCTATGCTACCTTATCTCAGGAAGGAAATCGTAACCAGACAATATTGATTATATTATAATATTTGAGAATTTGGGACTGCCTCATAGACTGGTAGGTTGGGAGACTGTCATCTAAAGTACAGTATATGGATATCCAAACCAGCAGGTGTTCATAAGCTTTAGATGTTCCTCATTTGATAGTTAGAAATGCACACAGGTGCATACTCCTAGCTGTCATCCCCCATGCTGTACACAGTGCTCTAATTAAGGCTAAATCGCATATGTACACACAAAAAAGTAGTATGATAAATGATTCACCCCCTCCTTCACCTCTCCCCATGTGTACAGAAAACGTCCTACTAGGTTTCAATTACAGAGAGTGAGTCTGAAAGCAAGCAGTATCTGCTGTGCCCTCTCTTTAGAAAATAATTCTGTTATTCGTATGTCACAAGTGAACACTGTATGTGTATTTGTAAAGCAAAGATATAAGTATGTATAGTAACAGTGATGTTTTGCCGATCCTGGGGCATCGCACTGTTCACTTTTTTTGTTAGAACTTTATTAAAATGTCATAAGTGACATTTCATTAAGTTCTATCGGCAGTGTGGTGGACGCGATACAACAACACTAAACAAATTACTGCATACCCTACTTTTTTCAGCACATACCACCACAACGCACTGGTGTGAACTGAGCCAATTTGAAACAAGGCAAATTGCCTTGTCTGTGCATTGGGGCTGCGATGGAAAAGGGGCCAACACATATGTTATAAACAGGCCCTAAAATATTTAAATAAATAAATAGAGATGACCAAAAATAACTATTGCATCCATTTAAAACCGAGACTTATAGCATTCTAAAAAGCCATACATTTGTTGTTTTTCAAGTTTGTTCAAATTTACTTTTTTTTGTTTTTATGTTTGACCTGCCCCATTATTTCCCAGCCGAGAATAATGTGTAAGCCTCCTCCGGCAGCCTCCTAGAATACCAACATCACATATTCCAGGAGGCATTACTTGCACCATTCATAAAATCCTCCAATATGTCACAGGATGGAAACATGTAAACAGACATGTAAACGGACAGGGCACCAGTTCGCTGTCTTGTCATTGGTGGGGCCCGCTTAAAAAATCAGGAAGAGACAGTCAGCTCCTCATGACGTACAAGAGGAAGATGGCGGCGAGGGACAGGACATGTAGTAGGAGAGCAGTACAAGAGGACAATGCTGGATCCACTAGGCTTGTATGTACATTTATGAAGCATAAAAAGAAAACATTAAAACGGGCAATTGAACTGTAATTTTTTGGGGGGAAGAGTGAAGTTCCTCTTTATGTTACTAACATGTTTTCCATGATGTAGCCTCCTTTTGATCAGTGAACCCGATAAGAACAGAACAGAAGACCAGAGACAAAGTAAATGCAGAGATAATTGTATGTATCATTTATCAAAACTTAGGGAATATTAATTACATTTTTTTTTAAAGGTACAAAATAGAATTTTATATGAAATACACTACAGCAAGGATCATATTATAATGGACCAGGTTACAACTGCTTTGATAACTATATTAGAATGAGAGTGATGCACAGCTATTTACTTTGCCATGTATCACTTTACAGATTGAAATAAAATAAGCAAACATTTTCCCATTTATGATTCAGACTGCCTCATTTCTGTTTCTTAATGCAAACTAAATATAACTGAAATCTCTGCCGGCAATAACCCAATTATGTTTATTATGAATTTGAACTATTTACTGACGCGTTTCTAATGTTAATGCATTAGCTATAAAACATCAGATTGTAATTCAGTTATATTTTTTACTTCTTGTTTCTACTAGCTAAAATAACCCTGAGCTAAGGAGTCGTGAACACCAGTAGATAAGAAAAGACAGATGTGTAATCAGTAGCTGGACTTATAGAACACTGATTTACAAAAGATTCAGTTCTATATATCTCTACCTTTTGTGAATACTTTATTATTTTAAATGAGACGGAAATAGATAAAAGTAAGGAAGGCAAACTTTAATTTAAAAAAAAATATATTTTCCATTGATGTTCTACTCAATGAAGAAATTGGATGCAGACTGCTGTATATTGCCCTGATTTTCAGGTTTCAGTAGGTAGACCTCGGGTTGAGTCCTCACTTCTCATTACATTCTCATCGCTCTACACATTCTCACATCTCTCAGAATGAATCATTGGTTTTCAGTGTAAGGGATTAGATTTGAAATTAGACTGTATTAGTGTTAGGGCGAAGGGTTAGGGGGTATAGTGTTGGAATTATAGTTAAGGCTTCCAAAGTTAAGTGAGAGATTCAGAGGTCTATTTATAAACAATTTGCAAAGCCATTGGCCCTATGTGAATGTTCTTTCTGTGTAAATGGATGCACAAAATGAACATTCTTGTTATTGTTCCTTTTAAGTCAAATGCATTTTCAAATGTCATACTTTGTCATACTGTCAAATGTAATACTGGTCACTAGATGGAGCCGAGGAGCATACAAATAAATATTTACTTAAAGGTGAATTATGAGGTGAGTTATTTTCACTCAGCCTCATAATCTGAGCCAACCTGTGACAATTAAACTGTCACAGGTCGGCTCAGTAGATCGGGAAGTGAGCGAACACATACCGGCGCTTGCTCAATTCTCGATCCTGTAGCGGCAGAGAGCCATGAGAGAGCCAGCTGTCACTCACGCTGCTGGGTGGATCCAGACATAATTGTCGGCATCCGTTCCGGGTGCGGCGTCTCAGTATACCGCGAGCGGTAGCTCGCGGTGTACTGAGCTTTGGGTGATGGGAGGACACAAACTAGCTTACCCTTAGGAGAACTATAGGGAAAAGCCCTAACCCCATAGTTCTCCTTTAATATGTCCCTCAGCTCAATCTTGTGACCATAATGCGGTATTACAAGATAACATTTGAAAATACATTCAACTTATAAAGAAAATAATAATTATTATTAAGTATTTATATAGGGCCAAAAGTTTGCGCAACGCTTTACAGAGTGCTAACTTTTTATGAGGGGGTGAGTAGAGATATGGATGGAGGGAGAGGGAGACAGTAAAGTTACAATCCAATTTCAATACAGGAGGGCTAGCGCTTACAATCTAGTAATGATACAAGAGAATTCATTTTGGGCTTCCATTCTCACAAAACGAACATTCACAGAGATTCACAGGACCAATGGATCTACGACTTGTTTATAAACAGATAAATGTCAAGGTTTAGGTGTTAACCACAATGAAGGTTAAAATAACTCTGCCATTAAAAAGAAATTAAAAAAGGGGTGCTAACACAAGAGGGGAATAAGAGGTGCCTTTCACTTGCCAGTAGTACTAAACTTGTACTTGTACTCGCCCAAATGCTCTGATACTTACCTCCGATACTGGAACTTCCAGTCAGAGGGCGATCTCCCTCTGACCAGCAGTGCTGAGGGAGCATAGAGCTGGCTTCCTTTCCAATCAGGAAGCCGTGATGTGAGTTATGACCCGGCTGCTGGCTTCGTGAATAGCTAGGAAGCCAGCTTCACTTGTTGCTAGGCAGATGGCACCTCATGACTCGCCGCCTGGCAAGGGAAGTCGTTGTTCTATCGCTAGAACATTTCACAGGCAATCAGGAAGCTGGGCATCGGGTCATGATCCGCCGCCCAACTTCCTGATGATTGGGGCACACGGCACCAGTACTCGGTATCGGTGAGTACCGTAAGAAAAGTATTGGTACTCGTACTCGATACTGAAAAAACAGTATCGGTGCATCCCTACTGACAAGCATTCTAGTCAAATGGCATGTTCTGCAACTGAAGACTTGCAGCTGCGCTCAAATGGAATATGCATAATTTAGCAAGAAAATGCTGTGATTGGCCTGCTTTGCCTTCAATTCACCTTAATAGGTCATGTTATGTTCAAAAGAACACAGGACAACACCGCGCAGGTCAAACACAGCCTCTGAACTGCCATGTGTACTGCTCATTTCAAGTCAATAAGATTTTTTGATGTCATTCCAAACACACATAGAAAGCAAAAGAGCATCGCTTGCCAACTCGAGACCTTAGGCAGCAAATTAATGGGGTGCCTTAACACAATGCATGTTAACCTACGTGCGCTAACACACCTCAGTAGCCCTAAGAAATGAGTTATATGATATGTTAATAATTAGGTTAATTTTCAAGGTTCAAGTGTGGGGAGGTATTGGAATCTGCTTAGCAGGCAGACATTGATCAGAGAGTTAGACAAAGTTTAGAAGTTAAGGATTTCTACTCTGGGTTACTGAAAAGAGAACAAGTTAATTTTTTTATTGTTGTTTAATGTTCTTGTTCCTGTTTTACGTCCATCTGTCTGATTATCATATACTGGGGATAGGAACTCCTCATATACTTAGGGGCTGGACTCTGCTGGAACTTTGATGTTTCGGGCTTGGACGTTTCTACATTGCCTTTATGGCTCTACACACCGGTTACTTTACTAGTTTAGTCAAATAGAACTGTCTCTACTTCCTGCGGATGGCGGGACGGAATGCTTTATTTGATTTTGGATTTTTCTGTGCGCTGACGATACCTCGTGGGTATAGGAACTACCCCCGCGTGAGGTCAGCTTTATAAAGTTCACATCGGGAAAAAAGGTGGTCCTGCAGAATGGACATTGTTTTTGTTTTTTTTTCCTTTGTTCCTGTTCTTGTTACTTCAGTTTACTAACCATCACTCTCGGATTGCTCACACCAGTGTTGTGCTTATTGTGTCCCAATGCATTACTCCCAAAGCTTTGAGGCTAACAAAGGATACAGGAATGGGCTGGCATAAGGAGAATAGCTTACAGTTACCAACAATGAAAACTAAACTGCCAAGAGGTGCCAAAAGCTAGATGTTCCTGTCTATGTCTCCTCCACATCCACCACAAATGTTTTATTATCTTGTAAATGGTCCTCTACATTTGTTTTTTTTTGGATTATGAATACGCTATTGGAGGTGTGTCACGTGCCAATATGATCAGATTTGGGTGGGTGAAGTTAGCATTTTAACAACTAAAGCTCCATCACAAACAGTCACATTCTCACAGGTTTGGTATTGCAATATATGATAACTTTCTAGCAAAAGAAAAGGAAGAGATGGATTAAAATATGTACATGAACCAAGAAACTTGAACTATTTTAATCTACACGCTGTGTTGTACTGTTGAATTAATACATACTTAAGCAGCATGTAAGTGCTGTCAAGTTCACATATAGAAAGTAAAACATGAAAATTCACTTACAAGTTATTTATGACCATTCAAAAATACACTAAATCACACCCATTTTATTTTAGAGGATTTCATAATTTAAACAAAAATTAAATTACTCAACATAATAAAATGATTACTCACCAGCTGGGCCTGCCTGCGACTACGTTTCTCTGCTGCCTTGCCAAATCCAGCCAGGATAATCCCAGTGTCATTGAGAGTGGAAAACGACACCATGAGCTCAGACTCTGGTGATAAGGACACAGGCTGCATTTCTACATAGCCATCATTAAGAACAGTTATACTGCGTGTAGGCTAGAGGAAGAGATACAGGAAATAGATGTTACAGTATATACTATAGTATAAACATTTCATATATAACATATGATAAAGAAAGTGAAAATATAGACAATACCTTTATGTTGTCTACATGAGTTAAAGAATAATAGTTTTCTTTGCCAGGTGAAGGTATAAGTATTCTCATCAATTTGCAATTAAATTAATTGAGATAGCCAACAAATAGGTAGTGCCCCCTAAAACTTACATATAAGATTATCTGTTCTTAACAAGGAGGTAACTCCCCAGTAAGTATAGGCTAACGGGCACAGACAGCACCAAAGACACAGATGGTTACATAGTCAAAGATTATTGCCTAAGCTCTTTGCCAGAGATGAATGTCAAATAAAGAGTTTTGATGAGCTAGCAAAAACCTGTAATTAGACAAGTTGGGTAAAAGGAGCACAGGAAATGGGAAGCAGTCAATTACAGGGTTCAAAAACAACACTCATGAGAACATTAACCAGAAACCAGAACAGGATTACACGATTAGAAACTCTTCTTAGTAACAATAAGGTTAATGCTACCATGGGCAACCAGAATGTGGTCTCTGGTAAAGGACTCAGGACCAATCATTATGAGTGCACTTGGTCACAATCCTTCTTGTACAGCTAACCATAAAGGTAAATAGAGCATTTATAGTCATGCCAGGGCACATGAAGGAAGCTATTAATGCATTAAAAACTATAGAGGGCTACAGCAGAGGGAACAGTTAGAGTAGCAACAAGTAGACATCAGGACCCAGAAGGACAAAAAGAACAGAAGCAAGTCTAACCGATGAACAGCCGAAAACAAGAAAGACAGAAGGATGCTGCAAGAAGAGCCAACACCAGCAAGCCCCTGACTGTGCTACAGACAAAGGAACAGGTGAGGAAGACCACCAAGCATCTTGCTGACTGAACCTACTGTAGGTAGGTTCCTGACAATGGGGTACAGTTGTGTACATGGATGATGGCCAACTCTTTATAAAAATGCTGAATTTGGTTTTACTGACTGTTCAAATTATGACATAAAAACACATAATGGTAGCTATCCTTAATAATTCAACAATATCCTTGTTTCCTAAAGAGGTATATTAAACATTTAAAAGCTATACTTATTTATCCATTATTCATGTTGTTATTATTAAAACAAATATTGTATTCTATTCACCTCCAATTTACAGCCTTTTCTTACACCATAAGCATTTCTTAGCAAGTCAAAGTTTGATCGTGAAATCTCCAGGTTCCTTATACAGCCAACATAGGATCTGCTGACTAGTTGTCTCCTAAAAGGTAGACAATTGTTGTTACTGTTCATAACTGGCATGCACAAAAAAATAAAGGTCAGATAATAAAGAAGGAGACAAAGTTAAATATGTGTACTTGTTGGTGATTTCATGACTAAATTAACATTCACATGTTAATATTTTTGAGAGAGAATTATTCAATTCAGAGGCTTATTTTACAAAAATCACTAAAGCTAACCTCCCACTGTTGTGAAAGGGATTACTGTGGACCAAAGCTAGGCAAATCCTTCCAGCACAGAAAGGAAGGAGGGTGGATTAAAGAGGATAAAAACATGCACTTTCACTGTTTCCTCAAGCTGGAAGAAAGATTATATAAGAATAGAATATAAATTATTTAGAATATATAAGAAAGATTATATAATCTAATTTTTTTCCCAAGTGTGTTTTTAAATGCTTTATGCTGTATTTCTGGAAGGGGGCATACTAGAAAAGCAGACCTTGTGCTTATTTAAGCCCAAGGTGTTGGAGTGCAATAACACCTAGCATTAGCAAGGGGTGTTCACTTCTGCCTGATTGCCTCTCCCAGGAAGGAGATGGGTTCATCCCAAGGCCCACAAGTAGCATCTGGCCCTAATCCCTTCACTGCCAGCAGTGAGAAGTCTATATATTGAATGTATTCAATATGCCCCTGCCAGCCGAGGGGAAGGGGTAGAATATTAAGGATTTTTTTTTATAACTAAAGAGATTTTTTGTTTTAAAACAAATATGCCCTGTGTTTAATGACCACTTGCCTGTTGTTCCAGTGTTGTCCTTTGAGTAGTCACGCCCCAAGAGCTGAAGCGGACCTTCACTCATTAAACTAACTTCCTCTCACATCCTTTCTCCACTTCCCTCTTATAGAGAGGAGCAGCCCTCCACTTCCTGATTCCTCACGTAGGTGAGGATGACGTAGAATTTCTCCACACTCACAGGCATGGCAGACATGTTGCAGGTCTCGGCCAGGTCCAAAATATCTGGCAGAGGCTTATGGCATGTCTACCAGGAATTCTCGATGAAGAGAAGTCTTTAGCAGAGAAGCCTAAGGTGAAAACTGGCTGCAAGGTAGACAAGGGCAGCATCGAGAACTAGTGACTATTTCTTTTCTTTATTCATATACAAGGGAAATTAATATATATATATATGCTATCTAAAGCTAAAAGAAAAAGTTTTGGCTGTACATACACACTGTAAATGAAAAAAATAAAAATTACTGTTGGATCAGCAGTGGTTCAGGTGTTAACAATAAATATCTGCCAGCTGATCCCAGTCAAATTCTGCACCTTGACACAAATCCACACCTTAACCGTTAACACCAATAAGAACGTGCCCAGCCTATGGTGATACTGTAAAAATCAAAGAGAACATATAGCCAGCACATCGCTAAGGTTACAGACCTTGTAGTTTACTAAGGTCTAAGTTGCAATATACAGTGCAGAAACAAAAGAAAAAAACAAAAAAACACCGATGTCTCGGAGATACCCTGGCATCCTTCTCAAGGGGACAAAGGACAAAACCTGAAACCTGACAAATTCTCTAATCTCTGTTCTTTAACTGAAAGACACAACAGAAGGTCAGTGTAACTCACCTCACCACTCTGGACCTGGGAAGGCCACCAATGTATATGGGATCTTTGTCCGACCTATTTAAGTCTGATGCTGTACCAGGTGCCTCACCCTGTTTATTCTCTCGTTGACTGGAGTTGTACGAGTCCATAACAGCTAAGATACCTTAGCAACAAATACAATGTTGTTATCAGTTACATAAAATGATAACACTACAAATGTTGCCTAATTTTAGTATTGAATTAATGAAAAATATACACTTTAATTAATGTATTTATTATAGGTATTTATAAAGCGCCAACAAATTACGCAGCACTTTACATACTGTAATATAATATATGCCGATGTCAGTATGCATTTGGATTGGATTTTTCCTATTATGTTAAGCATCACATGATATAATAATAAAGTTCACATTATATTAAAATAATACCTTGCTTTTTGTTCCGTTGAAAAGCAACTTTATACCAGTTTCCATCGTTGTAACGTCCATCAGTTGTTAATGTCAGAGGTCCTGAACCAAGTTCTACTGACAGTCTCAACTTTCCATCCACTATTTCCAGAGATAGGAAATCTCTCTAACAAAGGGAAAAGGAATTACATTTAGCAAAACTCATTCATAGCACAAAAACTATATCTGAATATAAAGTATAAAACCTTTTAGCCAATGGCTTTTAGAAATGTTTAATTTTTCTTCTTCTAAAATTATATTTATTGGCACTGGTGTCTACAGAAGTTACCACTGTCTGTCATTTTTGAAAGGGTATCAGCTCTGCTCACAGTAAGGCTACACCTGCAGCTTGATGAAGGCAATGGCAGGATTAATAAGGGTAGAAAGTGGAATTACACCCTAAGGCACCACTGACACCTAGGTGCTGGCACTTTCAGGTGTTTAAAAAAAATGTTTTTGAGCATTTTTACGTGTGTTTACGCACTTTTTGTAACCATTCTTAAAGCACTTTGCAGGCATTCAGCTTCTTTTTTATTTGGACCAATGGAAAGCAGGAGAATGTGTGACATGATGCAAAAACTCCCAATAAAAGCTCAAAAAAATGCTTAAAAGCGCTGGTGATGGTTGTTTTAAGGTGTTTCCATTGAAGTCTATGGGGACAAAAATGTTCAAATCTGCCTGAAAAGAAGTCCATATACTTTTTCAAGCTACAAGTGTTTTGTTACAAGTGACAAAATGCTCAGGTTAGAACAGGGGCCGTAGAAAACAATGGAATTCCTTTTGATGAGAGTGTTTTTGTAGAATTGAGCTACAAAATGCCTAGGTGTGAACGGGCCCTGACTTATTAAGCCACATAAAGTTATATATTTATGCCATTTATTTATCATTTAGAAGAAAACTCCTTTAATAAAAAGATCACTTTGGGAAGTAGTATTATTTTACCAACTACAGACTGGGCACCCTGCATATTCTGTCAGTAAAGATCTCCTATTAGTGTGAAAATTTGCAAAAGAAACATTCTAGTCAATGCATCACATTACCGTTCCATTAGATGCAAGATAAAGCAGGAGACCATTTGGTGAGAATGTACGAAAATGTATGACTATCTGTGTCGTCGTGGATCGCATGGTCTTCTCCACTATGGAATAACCACTGCCATCAAAGTAGAAAGATGTGTCTTCATCCTGAGGGCTGCAAAAAGGGGACACAATTACATTATGTTTTAGGGACAGAGACCATGTTTGAACCAGAGTTGCACAAATCGCACAGTTTATAAAAGGGTAAGCATATAACGGACCCAATACACCTGGAGTATTTTGTACAACTATTTATACATACACAAACACAATAACAATAAATCCAACATGGTGCTTTGTGTCTTTAGTTATGGCTTATTGTGTGTTGTTATACACCACCATCTGCTGGTTTACAATGACATTGCATGCTTCATACACCAATATCTATATGTGTGAAGATCTGTTAGTGGCCTCTTCAGATACTTCCTGCAAGTGGAATAGCCAACACACTTCCCTTTAGAACAGGTATTAATAATTAGTGATTTCTTTTATAACCAATATATTACGGATGTATCCCTCAATACTTCATGTTCCATACTGTTAATCTCTTTTGTACACAATATATGTTTTTAATTGTATAAACTTAAAAGGAAAACTCCACTTTTGTTAAAAGATTTAGAAGTTCGAAAATTGCTATACAAGCAATGTTATTAAAAAGTACCTTTTCATTACATTACACATTCAGCTGCTGTCAAGTAGATTCCCTGCCCAACAGCTAAATGTAAACAAAGGGGCAGAGATGTTGGCTGCTTTGGCTGTATTTGGGTAATGATGTCAGCCAGCATTCCCAGAACCTTTTTTATATTCAGCTTTTGTCTCCCTGTGGCAGTGGAACGGGGCTGGGAATACGTAATTGGTTGCTAGGATGCCACCAGCCGGTGGCGTTCTAGCAACCAATGAATAGTGAGCTGGAAGCTGTCAAATTCATGACAGTTTCCCAGCAAATACATGCCCCACTCTGTATGCTAGATCAGGGTTGATCTTAATTACCACCAGTTTTCTCATTTATAAGCTGGCAACACTTCTTTTTGAATCAGTTGCAGCCATATTGAAAGATTCTTAAAGAACTACCTGAGTCACAGGTGTCAATAAACCTATCGGAACTGGTTTTCTTTTTTTTTTTAATTTGGCACAGGCCCTCCTAAAGGTCCAAACCGCCAGAAAAGTGGCACAAAGCCTTTGTTGCCTTTAGAGTCCTATATATAATCTGGCTCTAAAGAGACAGCTAAAAATGTAACGTTTGGTATGCGGTGTGAGTGGGAATATTATTTATTATTGATATTTATATAGCGCCAACAAATTACACAGCACATCAGTCCCTGCCCTCAAGGAGCTTACAATCTAAGATATGTCATATGCATACAGAGGAGGGCCAATTTAGACAGGAGCCAATTAACCTACCAGCATGTATTTGGAATGTGGGAGGAAGCCAAACAACCCAGAGGAAAACCACGCACAGGGAGAACATGCAAACTCCTTGCAGATAGTTACCTGGCCAGGATTCCAACCAAAGACTCCCTGCAAGGCAGAAGCGCTAGCCGCTACGCCACTGTGCTACATAACAAACATATAGTGGTGGATTCTCACATTTGACTGCACAGATGGAACTACAATTTATGCTAGCATCAGAGGGAAACATTTTTATATGATTTGACAAGTATTTAATGAAATTGCACAGCAATTGGTTGATTTCATGCGTAAAAGTGGTGTAAAATTACTGGTAAACTATTAAATACCCAGCAAATCAATATTTCAGCAGGATGGATAATCATTTCTGGTGGACAATCCCTAAGGAGACATACAGTACTTTCAAGGGGAACAACTGCAGAGAGTGGTGGAGTGGTGGAGAGCAGGAGTGAAGTGGCTGTGACATATTTTGAAAATATGCTACAACACTAGCACATAAAATACCAACAAAGTATTATGTGCAACATTGCTCATACATACATTTCATACAGTGATCATTTGATGATCACTGTATTAAAAAAAAAACCTGTAGCGTTTGAGGGGACTGGGGAACGGGGCAATAAAATGCTAAAGTGGCATATACTATATATTGCCAGAACCCCTATAATGCCTCAGCCTCTCTGTGGAAGGTAGGGGCACACTTTATTTCTGGCACTTATTTTTCTGCACTTGCAGTGTGTAAAGGGATATAACTTGGGTAATGTGTGTGTATTCCAATGATGTACAAAAGTTTTTTCATTTTGTCTTAGGAGTGCCCGGCATAATGTCCTGCATAAGATCCTGCACATAGGACATCAAATCCGCCTGGGCGACCGCTTCAGGAATGCCACGTATTTTCACGTTGTTGCGGCGAGACCTATCTTCCAGGTCCGCCAATTTGGCCTTCATCCACTCATAGTCGTCCTCCCTGTTGTTATGGGCATCGACCAAGTCGTTAAATGTAGTGGCAAACTCCCCCATCTTATCTTCCATATGTGACACTCTATCACCTACTTGTTGTAAATCAGACTTGAATTGGGTGATTAGGGATTGCATATCTGAATTCAGCGAACTCCTTAAGGATATCAGCATGTCCCTAAGGGTGGAATCCGAGATGGGCTGGTGGGATATGGGGTAGGCCTCAATAGGTGCCACTAGTTCCCTCGTGTCATCCAGGGACGTACTAAGCAGGCTCACCTCCCTCTGATCCTCTCCAGGGGATGACATCCTCTGTCTTGCCAGATCTGGACTCCGGTCAGCAGGGGTGTCAGGCTGGGACGACCCAGAAGAGGAGCCTGAATCTGCCTGCTGCCCCGTCGAGGCCCCGCCGGGCGCACGCACTGTGGCTGATGTCTGCCGCTGGTCTCTTGCAGAGGAGCCGGCGCCATCTTGGCCGCGCCGCTGCCCCGAAGGAACGAAGAAGTCCGTCAATTTTTGCGGCCTCTTACCCCTTCGTTTCTGTGACCGTTTCATCCTCGGGGACCGGACGGGTCTGAGGAGGGTTCCGGTGTGGGTAAGTTATGCCCCGATCGTCGCTTTCAGTCGCCTCGAGGCCCGTTGCTGCACGGAGCTCTAGGCAGAAGCGTCCATGCAGCGCGCCAGCAAGCCACGCCCCCTTTTCATTTTGTCTTGACATAATCTTTAAACTTGGTTTCAAATGTGGCAAAATATATAGTGTATGTCTATCTAGTAGAGGGAACTGCACCCAAAAAGCCTTTGTCAGCATACAAGGGAAAGGAGCATGATGTCTGAATTTTATGGCAGGACACCTCACATTGCTTTAACAACCACAATATCTGTAGGCTCCAATAAACTCTAGTGAAAGTCTATCTGTTTATAAGTTGACCATGCAACGTTACAAAGTACTACCATAAGAGTTTTAATTCATTCCCTTATAGTCAATACAGTACAACAATAAGACTAGTATGCTAATATCACTAGAATACATACCTTCCATAGCATCCAGCACATCTGCCCTGTCTTTCAACATAATTCCATAAACCAATAGATTTGCCATTCAGGAATGCTTCTCCCATACATCCCCTAAAATCTGTTGTTTGCAGTGCTGGTGACCTCTACAAGCAAATACATTTATAGTTATTGAAATGTTCACATCTTTCTATTAATTCTTTAAAAAAGCAAGCTACCAGTAAAAAAGGAAAGTGCTGGAGATATTTGAAATATAAAAAATCTTGCTCCATCATTGTTCTACATTTACATAAAGCCCAGAGTAAATCTGCATTTATTTTTATTATTTTAAGAACAGGTGTTAAATCAGATCTTTGTAAAAAAAAGCTCATAAACTAACATACAATACCTGTAAGCCGCCCCCAATGCCTCCAATAAACATTAGCGTGGAATTATCTACATGAAGAATGGATGAGGTCCCTGGGGAGGATGAAGGTTTGGTTGAGGTTTTCTGAGAAGTATTGACTTCTTCTACTGCCAGTGTGCCGGATCTTCCAAACCTAGTAGAAGACAAGAATTTTTATTAGTCAGATTTTCAGTGGAAAGTTATTCTTATGCTATTATACAGTTTATATAACGGTACCCTCTTAAAGAGGCCTGTCACCAGACTATTTATTTTAACAACAATCTTATATGTGAATTTCAAGTATTTGAAGTATGTTATTTACCTGCAAAAACCTACCTTGATATTGCTGCCGGCACCACAAATCTAGAATGTGATGTCAGCAGCGCCAGCAGACTTACAGCTGTCACTCAAGTGGCACTCTATAGTATTTCCCTTCTCTCCTCCCTGGCAGCTACATTAAAAGTTATATAGGGAGGTGGGGGCTGGAGAAGCTGGGACAGCGCAGGCAGTATTTAGACACTTGCAAGGAGGAATGGCTATGACGTGCAAGGAGGGAGGGGGCTGTTCAGATGCAAATTGTAAGTCAATAAAAATAATTATTACCAGGGCCATCCCTAAAATAAGGCAGCCTGAGGTGGCATCTCTTTGGGTCACATGGGGGGGGGGGGGTCAGGCTGAGCAGCATAGCCATTCTGCTGCACAATGTTTGCAGTATGCCTGTTACCCACTTTCCAGCCAGAGCATCCCAGGTTGCTAAGAGTCGGATGGGAAGATGTGTAAGGGCCATACACATCTCTCCGCCCTCTCGGCAACCTGGGATCCTCTTGCCGGCATCATGCCGAGCTCCAGGCAACCAGTCCCCCCGCCTCAGGCGGCAAAAAAGGCTAGGGAGTGCCCTGATTATTGGACAGGAAAAAACGCTGCAAGTACACATTTAAAACATTTGATTTTTCTTTGCTTTTACTTGCAATTTTTGCTGAGAAGTCTTTCATCAAATGAGAAAAACATCTAACATATGCATTCTAAAGGGCAGCAGGATCAACTACAATTAAATGGATTTCATCCTGAGAGCTATTTGTTTCACAAATACACACAAAGATTTGAATCTTTATGACAATCACCAAGGACTTTCACTGCTGGTGTAAACTTTTCTGTGCAGTGATTACCAGTGTTGGTTAAATTGGACACATGGCTACCAAAAATCATAGTCCATGACAGGCCAAAGTTGAATGATTATGAGAATAGAATTGTTTCACCTTGTTGCATGTATTTTATGCCATTTGTTGTTGTTTATTTGCATGCCAGGATCTTCAAGTCTTGTGGCTCCGGTGCCCAAGTCCCAAAGCAATGAAACTTTTCCCTGTCTCATCTCCACTGCCATGAAGTCAGCCTATCACATAGCAAATGACAACAGAATTAATGGCAACATCATCTCTTCTGATATTTAAAAAAAAAACATATTGTATTAATTTTTTGAGGAAAATTTGGAAGACATAACAAAGTAAACCAGTAGAGAACACAAGATTTGTCGATGATAGTACAATATAAGTGCCTTTGGTACATTGTAATCAAAAAGTATAACTAAAGCCTATGGTCTTGTAAGTAAGGCAGCAGGCACTTGTTCTCATCAACAAGAATAGAAAACAGAAGTAGTAAGAAAACAACAAAACAGAGGTTGTAAGTTACTTGTATAGCAGGTTGAAATAACGTTCTAGATCAACTGTCTACCTCCAGTGCACCCAAAGAATTTGCAAGACTAGCTTCCAGATACCGTATTGTAAATTTGAATGGACCTATTGAAAGTTTTATAAATAAAAACCCGCCATCTACGAAAAAAACAAGTAGCGTGGGTATCTTTATGGAGTTCTGCATCTAATTATCCTCTAAAGAAAAGCATCTTTTAGGGCTAGTTCACACCACAGTGTGTTCCGGACAGATTTGGGCAGGAACGCACTGGGTAACATCCCGGTCGGCTACCTGCGCTCAGGGGCGGGAGGGGGCGTGGCGCTGCATTGAAGTCAATGGCACTGCAACCACGCCCCCAGGCCACAGTGCAATTGCCCGCACCCGAACGCGTAGCACATCAATGCCTGCTTTTCCTGTCCGGTCAGAAAAAATGCTGCATTCACTAATTTTTCTGACCACTCTGGACCGGAACGCAGGCATTGATGTGCCACGGGTTCGTGTGCGGGCGATTGCACTGCGGCCGGGGGGCCTGGCTGCGGTTTCATTGACTTCAATGCACCGCCATGCCCCCTCCTGCCCCTGAACGCAGGGAGCCGGCTAGGATGTGATCCAGTGTGTTGTGGCACCAAATCAGGTCACAACGCACTGTTTGTGGAGTGAATTAGCCCTATGTCTCTCACCACAGCAGAGAGCGGAGGAGGGAGAGGAGTGTTTCACATCTGCATCAAATCTGATATTTAAGAGAGAAACCTGAATTAAAGTAACACACCACCCGAATCATTCAAGGCCTCTTACTTAAAAATATCTGCCAAGCAAAGTGAAAAGGGCATTTTTGTTTGAGATTGCATTTTACAAATGAATACAGATTAAGGTCATTAAATAAAATCAGTAAACAATACTAGTTTCACTGCACTAGTGTTTTGTTTGTCTTAATTTCATTTGTTTGTCATAATTTAATGAGGTGGATGAAACTTCATGTGAAGCAACATGGACCAGCAAAAATTGTTGTGTGCATTTAAGGTAAAGCCAAATTATAATTTTTAGTTCTAGTCATGCATTAAATACTGCATTTGCTGCTTAAAAAGAAAACATACAGCAGTGATAGAAAGTTCCACCATTTCAGACGCTGTACAATGGTTTATAGTTTCTCGCACACCTTCTGGAAATCAACATAACTGTGGTTCTTTCATATGTGGATAATTTGTCAGTATGTGTCAGATAATTGTTAAAAATGAACGTACTCGGCATTTATTGGAGTGATGCGTACAGAACCTTCCTAGCGCATATGAACTCACCTTACTATTACTGCCCATATAAAACAGAAGGTTGTCAGGTTCACTGGTTTTTACATTTAATATCAGAGTATTGAAGTTTGTGGAACGGATCTCTGGGTGGTAAGAACGCACGCAATCTCTATCAGCTGAAACAGCTACTTTAATCTGAAAAGAAAAACCAAATACAAAGCCATAAGAACCACACGCCAAATATAAACTCCCATGGAATAAATACAAGCAATTAAACAATATATATATATATATGATCCAGCCTGTGACTAGCATTAACAGCAGAAGTTTCTGGTGTTCCAAGTCCCCCTGTTTTTTTTGCACTGCCAGTTAAAATTTCAGCACAAGCTTTCAGGGGTCTACCCTCTTCTTTTAAGGCCCTATAAAACATAAGTTTTATCACCTGTTGATCTTGACCATAGATACATTGATTTTACACTTGCTTTATCAGGGTCCTATAGGGACAGGTCATTTTAGATTTAAAAAAAAATTAAACCCCAACTCCAGCTAACCCTTTTAAGCAGTTACAGCAACAATGTTCATGTTTGGCAGCTTTACACATGGCAGCACAATGGGGAGGGGACTTTAAAACTGGGTTGCCCCATACATGCAAAAAGCTGGTGCTGCTCTTCTGTGCTGCAAGCAGCTTCACTCAGTGCTCACTCACTCAATGCTCCCAGACACCTCCCTGACAGCGTTACAATCCGGAGCCAGTGGAATGGGTTCCCAATCATGTGACCACTGTAACAACCAATTACAGTGATCACATGACTTGGAAGCCCGCCTCCAACTCCCACTGTTAAGAGCCCCTTAAAGGGTGGTGGGAGCTGGTGGCAAGGTATTAAACCACATTCATTTGAAAAAAAGTTCAACCCACAGGAATAAAAGGTGAACATTGCAAACACCCCAAGAAGTATTATAGTTTGTCCCTAACCCTAGTAGCTGTCACTTTTGCTGGACATTTTGATGTGCATGTAAATGTAGAGAATAATACAAATATAGTAAAGGCATGTTAAATAATAAAAGGAGTTCAAATTCTGAACACTATCATTACTGGGATTTCCCCATGCAGCTAGCAGAAATACCATATATATTTTTTTGAAATGGTACATCCTTAAACTGGGCCAAGTGTCATGTTGCCTTTGGCCATCCTTACTCACTTCTGGAGGCTGATCAGTGATTTACAGACCTCACAAAAACATCCAAAGCAGATTGGAGATTGGGTGTTAGGTGCTGCTTTTCAAAACAAAATAGGAGTTTATGACAACACTTTGAGAGCCCAGCTATAGCATTGCTGAATTTAAAGCTTTGCTAAGGCTGCCGTTGCAAACGTTAATGAACTGAGGTTCATAAATTAGGAAGCTACAGATAGATGTCATTACTTTCAGATACAGTCCTCTAAAAATAGAAAAGCCTAAAAATATTCCTAGATATTAGATTACGATCAGATGTTTTCATTTTAAACAGGCTTGACAAATCAGCTGCCTTCATTCAAACCATTAGTGGCATTCAAAGGACCACTAATTGGCCCAACTGGAATTCTTTCAATGATTGCCCAGTGTTCTCCTGTATTAGTCAATTGACATGTGCAGTGGTGTTGACCACAGATTATAACTGTTTGCATCACACAAGCCTGCATTTTAATAAACACCAACCACGCCTTCATATTTATGGGATGAAGAATCAATACAAATTCTTGAAAATCATTTTATTATGTTTCGAAATTATGTTTCTGCACTACAGTAACACATTAAACAGGGACAGTGTGTTTTGGCTTTACAGGTTTCAACTTTAAAGTGAATAGCTTGTAATATTCAAGTTACAATAAACATATTCTGAGGCTTTTTCTACAATAAGGACCGATTTGCATTGTAGAAATCTGCCTAGAACTGCACTGTTACTAATACATAGACCACAGTTATTATTTTTATCCTGTTCAAGATCAACCTCTTAGAGTGTCAGTCCACCCAGAAGTGATAGTTTAGTTATAAGTGGAGTATGCTGAGTCAATCCCTAGCTTCTTTAATGTATTGGATACTCCAACAGTGAGATCTCCCTGCCACCTGGTAGGGTTTGGCCATTCCTGCTCACCTTTGATCTTTCAGCACTTCCTGTTCCATTCTATATTAATATAATATAAATAGAAAATCCAATATGGAGAGTAGACCCCCTCATAATGCCCACAGCAGGTGTGCAGATTCAGCAGCTCAGACACAGAGATCTCCCCAATAGAGTCCACAAAAGATATAAAAGAGTAACAGGTGGTTTAACTCTCCAGCTTCTACTAAAAATTGAAAAATTTGGGGTGGACTTACTCTTTCAAATAAAGAGTACATACAGGATATATACAGGATGGGTATATACAGGATGCATTAGTACGAGGATCTTTTCTACTTACTGATGCTGCTTGCTTTCGTGCCTGATTAATCAGCTCCTTTATTTCGGATAGATTTCGGCTTAGATTCTCCTCCAGCAACTTCATTGGTTTTAGTCTGTCCAAAAGAATGTTAGCCTGCGTCTCCACCTCTTTAATTCTGCTCTCTGCTGATACAGCTACAATGACAGGTCATGATATTAGGCTTTGGGATAGCCATACAGGTTTAATTAACAACAAATGATGCAAACGTTGAGTTTGTAGGGATAAGTTAGGGGATTAATGTAAATTCTTCTGAGCACTGGTAGTGTTTATTACTTTCTAATGTCTAGGGACATATGACAGTAAACTGTGATCAGGTGTGGTCAGACCAACCTCGTACTCCAGTGCCAACCATCACATCACTGAACACGAGTAGTCGTACTGGGCGACCATATAGGATCCCAAAGCATTCACAGTATATACAGCATATGTAGATTTTTTTGCTATTTAAACTACATCAGAGATGAATTTGGGCTGAATAGGGCCCAAGGCAAGGTAGCAGATTTGGCCCACTGATCCCTAAGACTGGCAATAATAAGGATTGCAAAAGAAGCCGCCTTCTCCCGTCAAAAACCAACTGCCTACATGTGTATCCTCTCTAAAGAATTAACAGGCAGGTGCACACCTTTAAGCAATTGTGCTATCTTGCTATCTCCTGATTTACTGCAGGATCCTAAGGGCCATCCACATTGCTCCTGCCTAGGTTGCCTTGTGGATAATACATTTCTAGTCTAAACCATATTACATGTTAGGATTCCTGACCTTATAAAAAAAAAAATCTGCCATGCTTATTATTCTAAATTATACTAGACAGTAAATGTAGCTAATATTTTTTATTTGGATTTTATTGTATAGTTATACAAGTTTCATACCAGCCTTCGAGGAGTCAACCAGAAGCACATTAGTTCTCTGTAAAGTGTCATTCACCCTGGACAATGTAGAAGTGGCATTTGACAGCTTCTGGCTGAAGTTCATGATATGGCCCAGGGTACCAGCAGCAGTGGTGTTTGCAGACAAAGCTAGATCTTTGGCCTCTTGAAGTTTAGAACTTGTATCTGAAAAATAGAATAAACCATTACTTACATGGGCTTTTGTGCTTTCATTGCCATTAAACAAGTACCCAAAGAAGTTCCATTTGATCGAGTTATTATTGATGACTAGCATATCATTACAGATGGTTTGACCTGCTCAGCAAGTAGAATTCACAGATAAGTGCCCTGTCCATGTTGCTTTGAAATGTGAACATCTACTCTCCCACTCTTGTGCTAACAACAATATTGAGTATTTAATTATGAAAGGCGATAAACGTGTAAGACTTTTACAATTACACGTTTATTACACTTTTACAACATATGAATGTTACCACTTGGTGAGAGATTCATTATATCACTGATATGAAATAACTCTGAGATGAATGGATTGAGCAGTAGTAGAGTATTTAGTTACTTTTAACAAATTTTTGGCTTTGGTGTTTGGACTGTGGACCATCTTTGTTTAAACTGTGATGTGTATGTGGCATATGTGTGGTTGTCTGAAGTAAAGCTGCCCAGACCTATTAAACTTATGGTGGGTAATCTGCTTTTGATACGTTGGATAAATCTCATATTTTGATAGCATTTACAAAAGTTTGGTAGTTCATAAATCATTTTGGATCATGTAGCACACCATTTATCTTTCTTTGTATAAATTCAAATTGTTAGGTTAATAGGAACCTACGCAGATGAGAGCATAACTGGGGATGGGGTTTATATTGTTCTAATTTCTATTACTTTAGGTTTTTATTTGTGGCCTTTTTGAAGGGGTTTTCCCTTATTTCTTATCCCAGCAATAATGTTGCTAATGGGATAGAAAGTCAGAAGAAATGTCCAATGGGTAAACAGGCAGCAATGAAAAGCCGGAGGTTGTAGCCTTCCACATTATAATAGTGTTTTTTAATTACTGTTGTTTACCTATTACAGAGATATCCTCTCATTTCCTGTATCTGAAACAACACTAACTGGTACAGGAAGTAGCATAAATTCTCCACAGTACTAACAGAGGTAAAATAAAAACGACAAAGGTTCCAAACCTACTCTAAAACTAGAAAAATAAAGTAGCTTTTGGTTTGAGCTCCACCCTAAGAGCTGCATGAGATAGGAAAGGCATTGGATAGTGGTGCTTGCTGATTGCTCCAATATGTAGATCATTTTCTTAGGAAGTCCGTCCATGTCTGTATGTGTATTTGTATATTGCTCAATACGTGCAGGCCATTGGGGCTGATTAACTAAAGACAAGGTTGTTTACTTTGCAAATGTTTCTTAGCTTAGTGAATGAGGTGAAGCTCTGTGGACTTCCATCATTCAATCAGGCGCAAGCAAAATAAATGTTTTTACATTTTCCTTGCAAGTGATTGGGTATTCTTTGTAAAGTGAATTTTCACCACTTTCACTAAGGGAAAAGTCCCTTCCTAAAGTGGACAACATTATGCCTTTCGTAAATCAACCCCACTGTATCATTCTAAATTATTTTATACATTTGTATTATCGTGTCTATTTTTCCTTTAAAAAATTTTTTAGAGAGCCCATATGACCTTTATATATGGTAGCAATAAAGCCCTATGTAACTCCATCACCCTAATAAGCTGACATATTGAAGACTGCCTTTATCAATGTTTCTCTCAGTTGGGAAACATATACAAGACATTATTGTCTCAAAATAAAATGTCACTGCGGTATATCCACACACCTCTCCAGGATAAAAGGCAATTTAATGTATCACAGCTATAGACAGAGAGACTTTTCTTTTCCCTGTCCGCTTTCCATAGAGACTGCAAAGCTGGGAGGACGAGGACAAGTGATATTTCACTTACCATTCGGCAGGCTTCTCAGAGAACGCAGCTGCTCATTTATCTGACCAGTAAACACGCGGGTTCGTTTTTGTATCTCATCCACTTTTGTCTTCAGCCCATTCAAATGAGAGACGAGACCTATGGGAGCACACAATGGGATCTGAAACTGGATTTTACCTGCTAAAGGAAAGAGCTAAGAAAAGCAACGCTATGCTCTTTTCATAAAACTGACATTGTGTTGTGCAGAGAATTAGATTATATGAGGGTTAGTAGGCATACACAGTAAAGGTTTTTTTTATAAACAGCCAATTTTAGAAACACAAGTAATATGAACATTGCAAGCAACAGCGGAGCCATGCAGGAAGGCAAAATGACTGATCGTAGAGAGGTATAGGGAGCCAGCAATGGATTGCTAATGTTTTCAGAAAGGAAAATTGCATACCCAGCACTCACATATTTTTTAAATGACTAGTAAATCTCATAGCAATCTACAAAATCTTCCCTACTATGCCTGATAACAGAAAGCCATTCATAGCTGGATCTTCCGTCACATGTTGAAAAAGTTTCCTATTCTCATAAAACCTCCTCCCAAACTCTATATTCATGAACAGGTCCTCCCCCAAAACTCCACTACAGTTCTCAAAAATACAACTTTTCATTGCTTAGGAATATTTATTATCATGTTTCTGAAACTTGCATAGCACAGACGGTACTGGCATTCTGTCATTCTAACAATAGTCTAAATAGTATAAAAAAATTGTGCACAGTGTACAAGCCACTAAAATAAAATGCCACAGACACAAACATTGAAAGATATGTGCAGCGTGACCCCTGTGTGTGAATCTCTGTAAAGGAAACTGTTGAAGAAATTACCTTCTGTGTTGCGGCTTAAGTTCTTGGATTCATTTACCAGTTGTGAGCTGAACATCAAAGAATCCTTTGATGTACCAACCAAAGATCCATTTGGTCCAGATACCTATGAACAATGAAGACAGTAAATCATGAAACACTAAAACCAATTCACTAATTTTACATAGGGGTCTATTCACAAAGCTGCCGAGGGCAGCCGAGTGAATGACCGATCAGAAGTGAAGTGAGCCGAACACTGTTCGGCTATATGAATAGACCCCATAGTGTCAGGGCCCAATTCAAAATGAGAATGAGAGTCATTGATAGAACAGACTTTAGTCAACTGGTAATTAGTTAGATATGGTTTCGTTAAGGTAAAATGAAACTTGTAAAACAACTGACCATACCATATATCATTTTTACAAGAAGTGTTTTGCTATGAAACATGACAACATTTTACTTTGTGTTCCAAAAGATTTTCTACAATTGAAAAAAATCTTATTGTTGATTCCTTGCAATCATGGAATCTGGGGGCATTCTATACATTATACCTGAACCTAGAAATGTGCATTTCGGCTCATGTGATTAGCTCATTGCATTTCCCTTCACTTTTTTTTTCTCATTGCAACCCTGGGAGCAATCATGTGACTAGAGCAGGCAGGAGAAAGTGATTGGCGTGGAAGTGTGAGTTTCTATTTAAAAGCAATAGGTAAGATACTGCCATTACATTTGGTATATTTCTTGCGATCTACTTAACCAAGGTGGCTGGTTGGGTATCTTTTTCATCACAGGTGGAGTTTCACTTTAAGGCAAAATATAAGGGGCTTTTAAATATGCCAGAAATATGCCACAAATTTGCCAGAACGAAAATATATTTTGCACAGCCTAAGCACTGCACCCCATAGGTAAGTTGCCTGATTTGAACAGAGTTGCCAAGCACAACTTCTTGCGGAAAAAACAACCACTATACTGTAGCTCACATTAACAGATACCTACAATGACAAATGCAGACCCTGAATTCTGTCTATCCTCTGATTTGCCTGGTCTACATACTTGTTCCAAGACAGTGACTTAAATTATTATAGCTAACATGTCATTATAACAGCCAGGCAACACTGGTATTTTCAGAAGAAGGTCATCAATGGAAGTCTCTGTATTTATTTCATGACAGGTATTCTTCCAGTGTTCTCAGCTAAAAAAGTATTGAAAGACATCCTTTATCTAAATATTGGAGACATGCTTTGATTTAATTTACAAATTAAATTATGAATGCAGCATTTGGATGGCTCATGTTGGTTTTGTTTTTAAGGGAAACACATTAATTATTCAATGACAATTTCTAAATACAAAGAATGGAATGAAATATTTCATATCAGTTGTAATTGTGTCCATACATATGTATTTACAGTTAAACAGAAGAGGATTTTGTCTGAAAATATAAACAATCATTAAAGAATGTCAGCCACAGAGGTATATAAACTGTCAATAATCATTTGTTCCTATAAAGGAACTGTTGTATTTACTAATGCTACTATGATCAGTAATCCACACTAATCTTTACTTGGCATTGCATATCCTCCACACCTGTAGATCCACAGGCTGCCTAGAGAGTATGAACTTATTTATCCTATCATACTATGCATTTAAATTTCAGTATAAATGAATACATTACATGCAGTCCCTTTTAAAAGGTTATCTTTATAGTTACTGTATTATATTATAGTAAGTGTTATCATTTTTGGCATATTCTGGAGAGATAAACCAGTTTATGGTTTTCTGTATGCCTCAAGTAAACCAGTGGCGAGATTTATGTGCCTAAATTTCTGCCTTTTTGTCTTTATTAAAATGAATAACCTACTGGAGAGCTGGGTCCGATACTGTTCAACCTATTCATTAATTATATTGGGGAGGGAATAAATAGCCATGTTTCCGTGTTTGCAGACGATACAAAAATAGGGAGGGTACTAGAAACGGATCGTGACAATATAACATTGCAGGAGGACCTGGATAAAATAGGGGAGTGGGCAATACTATGGCAGATGAGGTTTAATGTCGATAAATGCAAAGTAATGTACTTTGGACATAAAAATAAACAAATAGGCTATACAATCATGGGTATGCCGCTAGGGAAGTCAGAAATAGAAAAAGATTTGGGGGTCATTGTAGACCACAAACTGAATGGTAGCTTGCAGTGCTAGGCGGCGGTAAACAAAGCTAGCAGGGTCTTGTCATGCATTAAGAAGGGGATGTATTGCAGGGACAAGTCTTTAATTGTGTCTCAGTATAGATTGTTGGTTCGGCCAAATCTGGAGTACGTGGTCCAGTTTTGGTCGCCAGTACTGAGAAGGGATGTCCTTGAACTGGACAGAGTCCAGCGGAAACTAATTAGGGAATGGAGGACCAGAGCTATGAGACAAGGATTCTGACCTTAAACATGTTTACGCTGGAATTAAGGGGGGATATGATTTTTCATGTACAAGATGTTCAATGGTGACAGCAACATTGGCAACAAACTGTTTGAGATTAACTCAATTACAAAGACTAGAGGCCACCACCTAAAGTTGGTGGAGAAAAAAGTCCAGCCCAATGTGCGAAGAGGGTTCTTTACAGTAAGAGCGGTTAAGGTCTGGAACTCACTGCCATCGGCAGTGATTTCAGCCAAGAGTGTAGATTTGTTCAAGAAACGTTTGGACAATTTCTTGAGGGACCGTAATATCCAGGGATACCAGTATCCCTAAGAATGAGATGATGCGTGGACCTATATGGGTTGGACTTGATGGACGTATGTCTTTATTCAACCCCAAATACTATGTAACTATGTATAAAAGGAGAAGCAGAAATGATGGTTTGATCTGGATGGGAACAAAAGAGAACTTCAAGGTAAACAAGAGCAAAGCCAGGAACTCTGGCAGGGAGTTCTCAGCACTGGAATCTTCAAATAGGAAGCCAATGGATTTTTACATGACTTTGCCGATAACATACAAGTTGATTGGTTGGGCAAATAATGTTTGAAGAATCATCTTTTTTGTCTAATAATGTATAATTATGGTCAAAGCAAACACTTTGTATAGAGGATAGATTCATACTTATAAGTTTGTGCTAACAAGCAGAGCATTTATTTTGAATGGCCCTCCAATGCACTGTTAAATTAGTGAGCAATGAACTTCACAGCAACGCAAATTACATGCGTACATGTGTATAGTGGTGCACTGCATGTAAAAGAAGGGTTGTGTCCATTTTTTGCTGCATTGTGGTGCATTTGGTAGCCCATTCATTCTGAATGGGCTACCTTAACAAAGCGCAAACAACACAATTTGTGTGCGGTAATGTAACACTAAGTTGTTAAATGTGGCCTTAATGTTATATCAAATACAGTTATAGTTTTAGATGGACTCATACACATGTAGAATCACATGCATACACGCAATAGGTTGGACTTGATGGACCTGTGTCTTTATTCAACCTCAAATACTATGTTACTATATTACTGTTAGATAAACCAAAAACACATACACATCAGTAAACCTGCAACTTACCAATCTTACAGTCTCTGAGATAGTATAGTTTGACTGCTCAGCCAGGACTTCAGCTTGCTCAACCATCCTTTTTATATTAGAGTGGGCTTGTATGGCATTTGTGGCATTAAATGAAGTATTCCGTACATCTGAAAGAGAACTAAACACATTTTTCTTCATAAATAAGCCATATATTTCAGTGAGGGTAATACAGAGAAGTAGATGAATACATCATTGCACATACTGTACAGGGAAAGTGCTATAGCAAACAATACTGTAGTATAACATCTGTGTTAACTATAGTGCTTGACTTTGGCCAGTATCTGCAGTAACATGGCAAGGTTAAAGATGCTATTTTTTTTAATGAAAACTATGTTCAAAGTTTCAACCAAAACACAGCTCTGGTGTGTACTAGAATATAACAAATTAGATATTTGTTATTATAACAATGCAGCTATTATTATTATTATTATTATCTATTAGGTGTCATTACCTGTTGAGAGAATCTGAAAGCCTCAGAAGAGCAGCAGCATGATCTTCAGAATTATAGGCCAAGTCCAAAGCATCTCGCTTAGACATCTGCATAACCAGCTCATCCACATGATGTCTCAGCTTTGTGTTCCACATAATGAGCTCTTCCTGGTGCATCTCCAACACCTACAGACAAAATACACAACAGTATTTACAGCAACCCTTTACTATGTTACTATGTCCGGTCCCAGCCTATTCATAATGTGACACTTACTGATGTAGCATTAATAGTGTCTTCTGCAAGTAACACTGCCTCATCCACTAGTCCAAGTCCTTCCTCTATCAGCATCACAGAACGGTTCTTGTTTTCCTGGAAATTAAGCTTTTTTACCTGCAAAATGAATTTCCAATTTGAGTCCCGTTCTTATTTGTGAATTATTAATTACACAGTGAGTATGGATGAAAAACTTCATAGGACTATCAGACCTTTCACCTTTAAAGTTACCTTTACCACCCTGTACAGAGCGGGATTATCATACACACAGTAGGTTTGGGTCTAGAGGCGCAAAGACAAATAGATGGGTTTTTTGGATGCCTTTATTCCTTAAAAAATACCCTTATATGCACATAGTTTGAGCCAATAAAAGGATAAAATAATTTCTGTAAAAGAGGTCATAGCAGTAATAACAGCAATAAGCTGTCCTGTGCACAGAGTAGCTGATCAATGGATCAATGGATGTCCCTGCTGACAGAGGAAAGCAAGTCCTCTTTATGATTTGGTTCTGTTATCCTGTCTCTAAACACACATCCATCTTTTGGAATCCGTCAAGTAAAGCTCAATATGCAAACCTGGAAACCAGTAAGTACCCCGTAAATCTATCATTCCTTTCCCAAAGAGGTCAAGAAAATTATTGGGTTTTTTTATTTCATTTTTTTTACATAAGAAGAAAAACTTACACTGAAGTCTTCCAGATTGTTTTGGATAACAACCAGCAAATTGTTGGTGGTATTGAGGTTTGAAGCGGATTCATATATGAAGTCCTCGGCTGCAAGCAATTTGCTGGTGTGCTGATCTAGTGAGTTCTCAAGGCTCTTCTTCACCTTCGCTAAGTCGTCATGTGGCTTCCCAAATTCCTTCTGGACTCTGGATAGTAAGACATCTAAAGCCCTATTACAGAAAGTGATAGTATAATCTATGATAATGTGCTTAGACCATTGCATCTACTGCAGTATAAGAAAAACTATTGCACATTGACAGTTGCCCCATATGACCAAGCATGGAAGGACTATGTCTAATCAAACTACTTTGGTCTGTTAAATACAACATTAAAGACATACAAACATTTGGTATATAGGCTCGATAAGTGCAAAAAATACTTCCTGTGCTACCTCAAGCAGTGTAATCAGCCCTCCTGGCTTATCTTGGACTACAAAACAATTATGCTAGCCATACACAGATCGAATTTGGTACCACCCAAATCGAGATACTACAATTTAAAAATTGAATGAGCTGGGTAGAAAATTTTGAGCCAAACAGTGGCCACAACAGTAAATTAGGGGCTGAGTGCATTTCTGGCAGATCAGCAGATACTTTTCTGTACTTGCTGTGTCTTTAAAACAGGGGTAGCAAACCTCCGGCCCTCCAGCTGTGGTGAAACTACAAATCCCATGAAGCATCTCTCTTCGGGAGTCATGTCTGTGGCTGTGAGACTCTTGCAATGCCTCATGGGATTTGTAGTTCCACCACAGCTGGAGGGCCAGAGGTTTGCTACCCCTGCTTTAAAGGGATACAACATGGGGAAATATGCATATATTGCAGAAATGTACTTTTTTATACCTTTAATAACAGGTTCTACTCCTGATTTTATTTTAGCGTTTCTACTAATCATATAGTGTTCAGATTTCTTTTGAGTAAATATTATTTTTCTAAGTTTGACATCATGCTTGACCTACGCTTATTTTCCTGAACATTCCTATGTTTCTGGTATATAAGCCATGTAGTGTTTGCTCCATTTATACAATAATGAAGATCAGTGCAGCATTGCATACAGTAATACAGCCATTATAATAATCCTTACTTGACATTTTCTACAGCATTTTGGTTGTGATCACTAAAGCTTCTTGTGCTCAGCTCTCCCAGCTTGGATAAAACGCCTTCCTGGTAATTCACTGGCAGAAGGGCATCACTACCAAGTGTCTCATTTAGACTTTCTGCCACTTCTATTAGCACTGCAGAAAAGGCAGATCATTCATTATTAATCCCGTATATCCAGTTATATATATCAAATAATTTTATACATAATCATGTTTTACTGCTTAATAAAAATCTATCATAGGACAAACAGGTGCAGAAAATGCTAACCATGTTTAGATCCTGACTCATGACATTGATGGTGAGAAAATGTAACAAATGACACTAACAACAACATGATTTTTGCACAGTCACTGGAGAAGCCTAATGAACTTTACCTTTAATTGTAGTTTGCATTTTGTCAATAAATCCCATTAGTTCCTGGCTTTTGTTCAAGGTGTTAATGGTGGAATTATGCACACTGAACCCATGCTTCTTTACCTGTGCCAGCTTTGAAACAAAAATGTAGAGTTTAGGTTCATGAAAGCTTAGGTAGGTGTGTATTATCATACTTTATTCAAGTTATCTGTAAGTTAGGTTCTGGATCTATATCTATATCAATATTGTATAATAGTAACCTGAAGATTAAAAGCAAAAAGATCAAAGCACTAACATTTACAAATGATATGTCAATATGTCAGTTACTTTACACATGCATAAAATAATTGTGATCCGCTACAAAACAGTTTATGCCTTTTGTGCTTTAACCCCTTCGTGACAGGAGACGTACACTGTACGTCCCGCCACAAAGGGACCAAATGACTCGTCACGTACACTGTACGTGATGAGTTATTTGCTGCACTAGAAGGCTGGTAACTGCTGAGAATCAGCGGTTATCATTCATTAATGGATGCCTTAAGTTTAGAGGCATTCATTAATGAAAGGGTTAACCTTTTTCAGACACCCGATACCTGAAGATCGGGTGTCTGAGAGTCACAGCAGAGCTGGCATGCGGCTTTTGCCGGCATTCTGACAGCTCGTATAGATCGAGAGATATCTCTCTCAAGCTATACTGGCTTTTTTTTTTCTTTCACTTTCAGGAATAGATACATAATGTGTCTATTCCTACAATGTATCTATTCCTGAAAGAAGAATGTTTGTTTTCTAATCGTTGTTGCAACAATCAGAAAACTAGTGACAGCTGAATCCTGAACTGCTGCAGGATCAGTGTCACTAACTTATTATCGGCTGTTCTGAAGTTTGAAGCAGCCTGATAATAACCAAAAATGTATTAATTTACAAAGCAGTAATAGTGATATTAATTCACAATGACTGCTTGATATAAAAAATGTCAAAAGTGTGTCAGTCATTTACGAACAGAAACGAAAAACAAGCTCAGTCATGAAGGGGTTAATCTACACAAGCAAATGGAGTCATCTGGAGGACAAAAATTTCAAGCTCTACAATTCCATCAAATACTGAAAGTCACTGGTCTTTCATTATGCCAAATCTCACAGTTTGCTTGATCTGCTAAGGTTATATAAGAGAAAGGCAGTGTACTGTTACTTACTCTGTTGTGTAGGAGGACTGTGTCTGCAGATACTGCATTCAGTTGCTTCACAGTTTGGTCCAGGTTCTGGGTCTTGTTAGAATTCGTAAACACAGAATCCTGTGACACAGTTCATAGGACACATGATTAAAATTAGAATTATTTTGAATTATAATTATTTCACATCCTCCTATCTCTCAGCCCCAATACAGTCAAGAAAAAAAATATTTAGAAGAAGTTATATATAATTTTCTTACACAGACACCTCTGTATGGTCTCATGCATCTTCCGGATCCAAAAGGAGTACCCTTCAACTGGCTGTACTGATTACAGTGTAATATAAATGACATTTTTTTTTTTACATGCAAAGTAAGATCTCATCATAATAGCCATAGTAGGGTAAGATACGAAGAATTCAGGTACAGAGATCTCATGTCTAGAGTTCCTTACAAACATAAGACAATGGGTGTTTTAATCTGTATGCATGAGGCTTTAAAGCACAATTATACTTTTGTACAAAAATCCCACAACCTCCCCTCCCTACCCTTAAACGTATCGAACTCCCAACCCCAATAGAATAGTTGACTTATTCATGTCAATGTGGAGTTACTGTGCAGGCAGTGCCAGTGCTAAAGGATATTTGGTCTCCCATTAACACCATGGGGACCCACTGCCATCAGAGTATGCCCTGGGGTGTGGGTTCTGGATTAGATTAGCTTAAAGTGACACCCAGCCCAGGAGTTAAATCTTAAAAATACATTCAAGTACCCAAACTATTCACAAAAATGTATCCTAGATCCTCAAATCTCTGAATTGGTGCTGGCATTGCCCTTCCTTCTGGAGGGTGGCTACTTGTGTTCCCCATGGTCTCTGTGTGAGTTGTAAAGTGGTCAACGCTCAAAGCTCGCTCCCATGATGGACTACAATCTCATGTTTAGTTTAATAATTTGTATTGAGATTATAGTCCATTATGTGAGCGAGCTCGGAGCAGTGGCTACTTTACAACACACGGGGATCATGGGGAATAAAAGTAGCCACCCTTCATACTTTTTGTCAGCACCAATTCAGAGACGATTTGAGGCTTTGCAACTGAGTTATGCACAAATAAGATACATTTTTGTTAATAGTTAAGGTACTTAAATGCATTTTAAGGTTTAACTCCTGAGTTTAGTTGCACTTTAAGTGGCTGGGGACAGAGGGCTGTGGGGGTTTCTAAAAAAGTGCTAACGCATTTGTCATCTGACCAATACATGATAAATGCATAAAGATATTTTTCTAGACCACCATGAAACCTATATGTGCAATGTAATTTTCTAATTTATATTATACAGCAATTTTGGAATTATGTAATTGTTTTGCTAAATGAAACATTCATAAACTACCATCAAACAATGCCTCTAGTAACTCTGTTTTACAATCGCAAATAATGTCTAAGCTCTGCAAAGTAATAGCATTATTAAGTGTCGTAGACTCTATGAAGCTGTTGCTGAACTCTGGTGTGATCCAATGTTCTGATGTAACTACTTATGTAGCTTATGTGTCTGTGCCCTGAAGGAGTGAGCATTGTTATAACAGAGAAAGGAAATTCTATCATAACTGCTTCTTGCAATCTCTTGAACCTTTTTTATGTCTATTATAATGTTAACAACAATTCCTAATCAAAACAACTCTCATGTTGATCCCTTAAATAGCATTTTATCCCACAACAAATCAGAGTGCATATTAAAATGATATTTCCTTGCACCCTCAGTCCAGTCTCACACATAGACACTCTGAAATAAGACTTGATTAAAAAGTATCATATTGAGCTCTTAACTGCTTCCTCTTTGCAAATCCAATTTAAGCACTGCCTCTGCCATCATAAATATTACAAATTAAATTTCTTCTACTTTGCACCGTCTGGACATTATCAGCTGCAGCTCTTCTATGAGGTTTAATTACATTTCTCACAGAGGTGATTGAGGGGGATATCAATATTTTTGTGATAAAGGAAAACAAAGACTAACCAGAAAAGAAAATAATGAAGGATTTTTTACAGGATGTTTGTAGCAGTGAGCTGGCGGGTGCAGTAATTCACAGTAGCCAATCACTGATAAGCTTTCTGCAGTTTTCTGCGGCCAGGATAATGAAATGATTACTGTCACAGTGTTATAGAGGAGACTGAAACAACCTAGGAAACCTTGAGTACACTAATGCTGCTACTACCATGAAAACCACTGTCTTTAGCACTTCTTATTTCATTCCGTGCCTCCACAAAGGAAACGTTTTTACTGATTAGGACTCTGTACACATCCCTGTGCCATTCAAAAGGGTCATGGTCACAATGATACAGCTGGTAATTTTAGATTATCCTATCTGTCCTGTGGTTACTTGCCCTGTATCTGGACCTAACAACTCACCGACAAACCTCTGGCAATAATCAGACTCCAGTCTGTAGGGGTTTTTACATTATTGCAGTATTTCAAAACAGAAGGGAGTATTTAGGGGAGCAGAGTACCCAAAGCGCAAAGGTGGAGGACAGAAATACTGTATCAGAAGTAGGTCCTATTAGAGCGATTTCAAAAAGAAGTGGCTGATGGACAAAAGACAGCCAAATAAATCTGTGACCCTTTGAGAGGAATCAAAGTACATTCTTGCTCCTGAATCTGTGCCTCTGTAGGCAGACAAAAATACCGGAGCCCCAGAGCAAATGTACATCTACCAAAGTCCAGACAACTCCTCTGCAACTTTCCTCAGACAAGAACATCTCTGTTCAGTCCAGCCCCTTTCAGGCATGCATTTCAGCAAGTGACTTAATACCCAAGGGACCTTAGTACATGGCTCATGCTGAGGCTCTGCGGGACCCACCTGGCTGCACAGCCTGGATTGGCAGGACTGAGGATAGGTGAGTATTTGGGGGGTTGTGCTGCAGTACACAAAACATTCTTACAGCAGAAAAATATTGTTTACCTTTACATGCATTGTCATGTTTTCCAGGTGTGTCATGAATCCATGAGGTACTGTGACAATTCCAGTGAAGTTTATAGAGAATATAGTTCTATGCAGAACATCCAGGTCATCTAATAACGGTCCTGTGCAGTCATCATCACAAGCTAAGAATTTAGAAATAGAGTAAATTTAAGATATATTAGTAACCTGCTCAGGCTCCATGCACTGGCCAAAAGTCACTTCATCTGTAGCACTGCGACATTCACCAATTTTCACAGGTTATCATAGAGGTCATTAATGTCTTTGCAGAATACATGTATTCATGCATTTTTAAATATTATGAGTTGGAGGTCTACTCATTGTACATTCAGAAAATGTCAGTTATTGTTGGTAAGTGCTGACACTTGAATTCTGCACAGACATATGCAATATTCACCCAGCACAGAGATGCAATATGCAACCCACAATCAGCCGTCATGGCCAGACTTTGTAGAAAAAGACTACCCCAACCACAAGTTGTATGTTGAGCATATTATAGTTATGCATTGTTCTGATGAAAGATAATTTGTGGCATTGCACAGTGTCATAGTAATTGATATGAAAAGTATTAATGTGAAACTGTCAGGTTCTGCAAAGCAATTCTATAAAGCTGTAACTAAGACAGCAATAAAAAGAACCTGAGTTGGGTCAGCTTTATTCAGAAAAAAGGCCTTAGAGAGGCAGGCTAGGGGAGCGTCATCTGTAAACAGCAGGTCATGCAGTTTTCCATTTCTGGTTCACATGGTATGAAGCTGCAGTGGCAGTAACAACAGCATTATTTTCAGTAGAAAAGTGAAAGAAGACTCTGATGACATCATCAACTACAATACAGAGCTGGTTTAGGTCATATTGCCAAAGATAATAGATTTGGTTCTCGTGACCTGGACCAGAGCACTGTAAGACCTGAGTTTTATAGCTGGCACACACTTTCACACCCTTGACTTTAAACCTAATACCCAAATATGCAATGGACTAAATTAAATAATTAATTAAAATATGTGCAAAACACCTCTGATGGATTATCTGACCCTCTGGCTCCATACCAGTTGCTGAACAATGACTCTGAACTTAAAGTGATTTTAAAGTCAAAGGTTTCCTGCAGAATCAGTTGGTCTCAAGCACTGGCCTTGCACTGATATCCTGTTTTAAGGTGGCTCCTCTACCTTGCAGGATCCAATAGAGCCACCTTGTGTGCCAGTAAGCTATGTGTATCTCCACAAAAATACAGGCACAGCAAGACAACCCACTCCCCTCCTCTTAACTCCCTCCTTCCTCCCTCCACCCTTCACCAAGCTAGTAGATGGATGGCTGACGGAGACTATGCTCTCCCTTGTGATCTTGTACTGGACAGGAAGTTCAGGGAAGTGGAGCTGAGAGAGTTGGAGCTGTTCAGAAACATGATGACTGTAAATGTTTTGGGCAAAAATGTAAAGAAACACTTTGCTGGGCAATGCACATTTGTTTGATCTCAGTAATAACCTTGGGGCCAAAAACAAAAATAAAAACCTGATGCAAATCTTAACTTTTCCCCACTTTATCCAAAACTAAAACAAATGGATGGAATTAGGTTTAAAAATAATCCTTCTGATTTTTATGAACAGTGCATGCCATTCATGGCCAGGTTTGCTTGACCAAGAAATTCCTCTTTTTTCTTTATTTATAGCTGACTTTCAGGACTGCATTCTTGTATTCCTATGGAGACTTTACTCAAGGGAAGATAATGCTGTCTATAGTGTATGTTTCTCCATGAGTGATCTAAGCTGAAATGACACATCATACAAATGAAGGAAACTCACATATGCATTGCTGTTCCAGTAGGGTATGCCTGACTTCACATGTATCACAAAGACGTCCAGTCACTCCAACCTTACAAACACATTGGCCAGTAATTCTGTCACAGTGATTATGCAAAGAACCACTTGGATTGCAGTCACATATCTGACAGCTCCCATCTGGATCACTTGGATTGCCAAAATAACCTAGAGAACACCTAAAAATGTGAAAAAAGAATACAATCTTAATATGGTTGTGTTTTCATTAAACTGCATGATAAATAGATAACTAGATATCACTGATACTAGAAGTTATATGACGAATACCTAAAAGCTAACAGAAACAATATATGGGGAGTTGTGCTGTTTAAAGGAAACCTGAACTAGTGGGACTACAAGGTGACATTTGTTGACCTTGTGTAAAAATACTATGTTCCTGGGTGCCTCTCATTTTCGGAGTCACTCACCTAGAACAAGCATGTAGAACAGAGTGCCTACTGATCTGCACACTTGTTCTAGGTCTGTAGCTCAGAGACCAGTGAAGCAATTTAATCAGCTTGACAGCCAGGAACTGTCAAAGACGTTTAGCACAAGATCTGGTCTGTCACACATACTTCTTTACTTCATAAGACTAAATGAATTGACATGCAGTGATGAATTGACAGATGAATTGACATGCAGTGATGTTCATATTGTGAAGCAAGGTAAAACTATTGGCTCAGTTGGTACAGTTTGTATCTAGACAGGCTCCTAAACATTATGTTACTTGCAGGAGTGTAAGTAATATTTCTACACCCTGTTCTGCACAATGTGTAAGATACTCACATTTACTAGGAGGTTACTATAATGCTTGCATACTGTGTACAGAGGACTTGTGAGGGTACAGTGAAGAAGAGCAAGAGATAATGGGAAACCCCCCTCCCACATATATACATTCCGCCCAGAAAAGTTGCCCCCTCTGAATGTGATTTATTTCCTACTGACTATTGACACTTCAATATATTTAAGGAGAACTATGGGGTTAAGGCTTTTCCCCATAGTTCTCCTTAGGGTAATGGGAGGACACAAACTGGCGTCCTCCCGTTACCCTAAGCTCAGTATACTGAGCTTAGGGTACTGAGCTACTGCTTGCGGTATACTGAGACGCCGCCGCTGAAGCGGATCCTGACAATTATGCCGGCATCCGCCCAGCTGCGTGAGTGACAGCTGGCTCTGCCTATCTAGAGCCAGCTCTCTGCCGTGACAGGGGAGGGGCTGGATTCCCCCCTCCCCGCTGCGATCCGCCAGCGCTGACTGGCGGATTGGACGGGGGAGGGGGGAATCCAGCCCCTCCCCTGTCAAGGCAGAGAGCCGTGACAGGATCGAGAGGTGAGCGAACGCCGGTATGTGTTCGCTCACCTCCCGATCTACTGAGCCGACCTGTGACAGTCTCATTGTCACAGGTCGGCTAGAACTATGAGGTGAGTGAAAAGCACTCACCTCATAGTTCTCCTTTAAACACTTAGAAAGTTTTTTTTCCAGTATACCCAATTTTGCCCATTCTGGAACAGGCACACTTTTCCTAGTAAGGAATAAAACAGGATTGTAGAAAAGAGAGTCTTGTGCAAGTCTTTGTAATCCTATACTCTTGTGTTAAGTCAACCCCACAAATATGTTAAGTTTACTCTGTTCACTTGGAGAAAAACATTAACATACACAAAGTTAGAGTTATTTTATGTGATTTATTGCAAACTAGTGTTCACACGTATTAAGCCATTGGACTTCATACCAACTGTGTAGTGGATGATCACTTGCAAGTCTTATGTTCTCAATGTATTATGTATTTGCAAGTCTTATGTCCCCAATGGGATATTGCTAGTATTGAGCTAATCTGGTCTGCTAAAAATTATAAGATGCTCCATTCCTAGTAAATGTTTGTTTAATGAACCTTAACCTACCTTTCACAGTACTTTCCCTCATATCCAGGCAGACACGCATCACAGCGGAAGTCATCGATGCCTTCTAGCACACAGGTTGGGCTAAAGCTGAGAAAGAAGAAAACACTTCTTAATAAAAATGTAACATATGTATAAAGTCATAAAATAGGAGTACATAAAAGTGAGAGAGAGAGAGAAAAAGAGAGAAAGAGAGAGAGAAAGTTAAAAGGGAAAATAGAGGCATGGCTGTTATCAGCCTGTACGTCCAATCAATATCTTGCATGTCCAGAATGCCTCATGTCCAATGTAGCAAATAAGATGACCATAGGTAGTCATAATAATATTCAAATAAGCTGTTAATAATCTGTAAATCCGAATAATAGCATGTACTGTATGCACAAATACAGAGTAAAATTATTTTCTAATCAATGACACCAACACAAATTTAAAAAAATGTAAAAACTAAACTAAGGTTTTTTTCAGTCACCAATTACAGTAATGCACTTTAAAAATACGTAATTACATATGGAAATAATGCGGCTTACTTCATGAAAACATCACAAAAAGAGACATAAACATATGGAAATGCTCCTACCTCTTAGAGTTGCCTTTGGGACAGGCACATAGTGAACAATCAGTGATTGACCCTGCCACTTTGCCATAGTAACCTGATGCACAGACGTGGCAGTGGTGTCCTGCAGTATTATCTGTACAACCCTGTTATGTGTAAAAATAGATATTATAACAGAAATGGTATTTAAATGACATAGTCTACATGTTCTATACATGTGCATAATGTACAAACAATTTTTAGTATTAGTAGTGCAGTATTTGCTTTAATGGCACATGTGGGCCCATGCCATCATGCTCAATGCCGCAATGTTTTTTTACCAATATTTTTTCCACACTGCCCCCTCCTGTTCTTATTAGAAGTATATGTGGAAATATAATATTACTGGAAATCCAATGTTACTGTTTGTGTCATTGAGCTTATATCAGGCTCATTTCTGCCACCTCTGGTTATAAGCTGTTTGTCTTAGCTATTCAATCAGGCAGTGATGATGGGACAGGGAATATGATCTGCCAGGCGTGGGTTGTTCAAGAATGTAGGACGGTGCATTTTACTTGCTTAGCCCTGGTTCACACCTGAGCATTTTGAACCTCAAAACTCCAAAATACTCAACAAACAAATGCCATGCTTTTAAATTGTGCTTGTTCACATATGAACACTTAAGCTCCTTTAGCCTTGCCTGAAGCTCAAAAAGATACATGACCTACTTTTGAGGCAGAATGGCGTGATTTTGGTAGCACCTGAAAAACAGCTAAACATACTTACAAATTACTGGAAATACATGTTTTTCAAGGCTAAACAACCATCTTCCGCTCCTGGTACATACTTTTTCATTGGCTAAAACAAAAACACTCAAACCTGAACAAGTCTGAAAATCGTTGACATCAAGACCTCCTCTGGGAAACAGATCCTGCAAAGACTCAGGGACCATAAGGTATGAAGCTGCTGATATAGCACAGTGTATGGAGAAGTGCCCTGATCTATTATGTATAGGAAACATTTCTCTGGATCTTAGTCTACAACAGTGCCACACCCAGCAGATCTGGCACATGGAGGGTGGACAGCAGCAGCTGTAAGTTTTGACTGCAACTTTATGCAGAGAGGCTCAACTTAGCATATCAATGCAGCCAACATGCAGGAACTATAGAGATGCTATCTCCTCCATAGTAAAATATAGCAAATATTTCAACAGATGTGTTTGTAATACATTACAGGCTAAGCAGGATTGAACCCCCATAAAATCTATGCTGCCATGAAACAAGAAGGTGGGCAGAGCAGCATTCTTTATGAGGGTGTTAGGTACTACATTGTATAGTCTCTGCTTCCCACCATCAGTAAAGTAGGTAAAAATTATAATCGTATATATATAATGCATTGCAACAGTTCTCATTTTATCATATCATCTTGCCTTTTACTTAGCATGCAGTGCTTTAAAAGCACAGAGGATACAAATATTTCTGCCATGAATGTATAATACTGTACATAAAGGACACGTACCAAGCATTCTCCGGTATCTGGATCACAGATCTCACTGTGGTTACTGCACTGGCATGGTACACATGGTGCAATAAAAGGCCGTGGTCCTCGTACATTTACTTCTGTCACTTTTTCTCTGAAGTAGCCGGACGTGCACTCCTGATAATGAACAAGAAAAAAAAATGCCATATGAGATAGGTCTATTCCTCCCTGACTGAAGGCAAAGAGGTAAGGAATTCAGATCACCTGGCATGAAAGGCCTGCATAGCCAGGAGGACATTCACAGATCTCGATAAGATTAGCTGCTTCTCGTCCAGAATGCATTTCTGCTGCCTCCACTGCAATGTCCATTGAGATATTCGATATCCTATAGATTGTAAGAGACAGCAATTTGCAGAGTTATTTTACCTAAAAGCCAACAACAACTACTACACGATTAAAACACACATGTGTATACACTGGTGGGCACACACATACATACGAACAATTTCAATAAAAACTGACTTAAAGTGAAACTTAATTTTAAGAGTTAAACATGAAAAATGCATTCAAGTACCTTACCTATTAACAAAAATGTAGCTTATCTGTGTATCACTTTTGTTCCTCATGGTACCTGTGTGTGTTGTTAACTAGCCACCTCTCCAAGCTCCCTCCCGTGATAGACTACAATTTTAATACAAATTAGTAAACTAAACATGAGATTGTAGTTCATTAAGGTAGAGACCATGGGGAACAAAAGTAGCCACCCTCCAGAAGGAAGGACAAAGTCAGCACCAATTCAGAGATGATTTGAGGATCTACAGCCAAGTGATACACAAATAAGCTACATGTTTGTTAATAGTTAAGGTAGTTAAATGCATTTTTAAGGTTTAACTCCTGAGTTTAGTGTCACTTTAGGTTTTAGAAAAAATAGAATAAAGAAAATGAAACAGTTGCACTTAACAATCAATTTAATGCCATGTTTATTTTTCCAAGAGCATATCAGAGAATGAAAAATCATAAAAAGTTCTGGCTGGATTTAATTCTGTGTCAGTTTAACAGTGTCTGCCTTTTAGTCTGTACCTCTTCTCTATCCAACCTGGCTTCTGGTTTTAACAAATGTCTCCCCACTCAAGGATTTCTAAGAACATCACGTTGAGTTTCATGCAGCCAAGCCCAATCACCTATTTTCCTGCAAATCCAGAGTCTGTGTTTCTGCCCTCTGTTCCTAGTTATGGCTTGAGTCTCCTGGTCTTGGTCCTGCTTTGTACATTGTGCCTACTGACCTCAGGTCTGCTGGTTCCTTTTGATCACCTGTTGACACCTATCTGTTGACTACCTTTTGTCTTTGTTGCCCTGCTTTAGTATATGCACTTGCCTGATAATTTGGTATTTTATTATGTCATGTCACCAGTGGTGGAAACATGAAGCCATAACATGGGAGTGTCAGGTAGAGAAATCTATTCCTCTTTTCGGATATCCCTGGTAAAGACCTGGCTCCTAGATCGACGTCATTCTGTGATAGTGACTCAGTCCCTAAGAATTTCAAATTTCCCAGCATTTGATCAGTGGCCTCCTGCTGGCCATTTCAGCTATACCATCCTTACTGGTTTGTATAGACAAAAGCCCATGGACCTTACTTCTCATTTTAAAGCACAACTAAGGTTCCTTCTCTAATGAAGTAACATATCCATTAGCTTTGCTTAGCTCCATTACCATTAATGTCATCTTTAAAATGTGCCTAACCTTTGTTAAATTTTAGAAAAACAGATTCCAAACCCATGGCCAGTGCCTTCACCGAATGAATGTACAGGGTGTGGTGGGCAGGTTTAATCTGTGTTTCAGCTTGTGTTCCGGAAGCCCACTTAACGATTCTGAAATCTACATTTCCCATAATTACATGCCGCTCTATTTCTTCATAGTAGGGAATGTCATGTGGGAGTGTCATTGGGTGGGTTTTATTGTAACAGAGGGTGCAGGAGGAAGAGGGTATGTACAGCTTCTCCGTGTGATGGGTGGGCCATTGTGTGTAGGCAGGATTAGGGAAGAAACGATCATGCTACTTGTTAGGGGGTGTGTAGTATTACAGATCACAGCAGACATGAACAGTGACTACTGTTTAATCGAGAAGAGTACAGAAATGTGGCCACTGCATGAAATAAGTAAGAAAATAATCGTATTCGAGGCATTCTCAACAAGCAAGCAGTGACACTCTTCTTGAATTGTAGGACAAACAACCACTAAAAAGGACTTTGCCTTAAATTGCTGCATTTCATATCATTTTTTATGATTTGCCTACATCACTATTTTAATAAATCCACCCTAGAGTGTATCTAACATTGTATACACTCTCTATACAGTCTACAGATTACTGCTGAAGCCTGCCTTTTTTGAAGTTATTTCTGTTTATGTCAGTGAAGACAAACTGTAACTTAATTCAGTCTTAAAAGATTCTGCTGACTCTAAGGTTCCTGTGATAGCTAACAACATTTTACAATATTGTGTTCTCTTCTGATACAGATAAACAGCAAGCAGCATGTACAAAAACACAGTCACTTTTCTGACTAAAGGTTAGAGCATGTATCAAAGTTTAGACGTACCTGCTCTGTTGTAATCCATAGCCATATGATGCTTTTATAAGTATGTAGTCAAGTTTACTGAGAACTGACATGAAATCCATCCTTGTAACTGACTCATCAGATACAGAATTATGATATTTCCAGTCTTCCTGCAGAACAGAGCAGAGAAAAAACTCACTCACTTAAATTCCTTGTGATATATGATAGAGTGTCCTAGAAGCTGATTTTAGAAGTTATTGTTATGTGGAGGATGAGGAGGTACATCTTGAAGGTATCAATAAAAATGTGGAGCACATAGCGTAGGGTGTCACTTCACAGGGTATACGGCTTGTAGTATATTAGTAAAATAAGCTCAAGTACTTTGCAGACAGACCATAATGAGGAATGCTTAGTCAGAAATAAAAAGTGCCACCAAGAAGCAGAAGCAGCAAGCAAAGGGTTAATAAGCCATCAAAGACACATGCATGCACGGAGCAAGTTAGTGTTACTAAATCAAACCCCTTATATACCACAACATTGGGCACTGCTTGTGTATGCAGGTCCATATAGCAGCAAACTTCCCTATATTTTGACATATCCAAAAACGCTATAAACACAATAATTGTCTGCTGGCACCTTTAAAACATTTATACGTTTTAAGTTGTAAAATTATTAGGCTGTTCAGTGTTCATTGAGTGAACCTTATCCTCATGTCGCTGCTTTTTCAAGTGGCTGTAATTAATAGGGAGAGGGGCAGAGATATAGTGACAAACTACTATCCAGCCGCAAGACAGAAGGGGCATTGGGCAATGCTGCAGAACCACATATTACCACATTTATTTTCTAACTTAAGGCCCCAGCACACATAGGGAACTCTCTTCCCAGGTGCAGAGCAATACAGTATCTCTTTCACATCTGCTGAACCCTCCTAGCGGGCTGACACCATGGATTCCTTACAAACCCAGAAGCTAATGCGCGCTCCCCTTCTTCCTCTTCCAGGGGAGGCAGTCAATGAGGTTTGATATGCTGCGTAACCTGAGTGAAGCTGCCCTGGTAGATTAAATGCAGCTCCCAGGCTGAAGACAGCATTTATTAGAACCGGGCACATACAGGGACACTTTTTATTCAAGGACAGCCCCCTGAAAGTGGATACTGTCCCCAGAAATTGGGAGACATTTCATCTAAACTTTTAACTAGTCTACAAAGGCAGAGATTAAGAACAAGTTACAAAGTGAGATTATATATAATCCATCAAGTCATCTGGAAAACCAAAATAAGTGGCATAAGGCTAAATCCCTATTTACCTCTTTGAAGCTGATTTGTGTCTCAGTTCTCACTCCATTTACTGGGTTGGGTTTGGCCATGTAAAGAACTTGTTTCCTGAGATGTCCACCTTTCATTATAATGTGAGGTTCAAAATCTGAAGGACCAGACTCCCCAAGTCCATAATATGTAACAACATACTTCAGCATGCCTCCATAAGCCAATGTCTGCAAATAAATAACACTCCAATACATAAACAACCATTTGTTTTTGATCTCGGAAGCAATATATCCATCCAGTATATATGAGTTATAAAAAAAAATAATTATGCTGGGGCCAATGGTTTGCAACCATTGGCCCCAGAATATAAATACTGATGCAGGGCCAGAGCTGACATGAATGGTGTACATGTTTAAATCTATCCTGTAATAAAGTGTATAGTGTTATTTCAGTTTCTAAGTGCTTGTTACTTGTGACGTTTTGTTGTTATAAATCAAAATTCAGCATTAATATACAGTGTATATTAAAAAGCAGCTTATGTTGGAAGAGTTTTACTCTGTTTAAAAGTAAATCTTTCATGTGAATAACATGGTCGACATTTCTGATATTCTTCTGAAAATACTAGTTGCCTGGCCCTTATATTGTTGTGCTAGCTCGAATACTTTCTCAGACATTGTCTGGAAGTTCATTCGTAGTTACAAGTGTAATGGCATCTGCCAGGAGATGCCATGTAAAAGCTGTGCAGACACACACATGAACGAAGCACAGTAGAACATTTGGTTCAAACCTCTGTGTCAGACTGGATTTTGTAAACTGAAAATCTAAGTGAAATGTCCTGGTACTTTCATACATGATAAACATTTGTAACAGCAATACACTACACAAAATATGGGTTCACCCTACCTTTTCCCCCAGGAACTGTGAAGGTAATTTCCAATAAAATATATCTGATAAAAAGTGTTGCCGTATTACGGATCCATCTAGTAACATGTCAACAGCCTCGGAGAACACACCATCTGTAGTTCCATTCATATCATTCAGAGAAACCACACGGAGCAGAGATTGGTTTGGAACCAAGGTGATCTAAAATACACAATGCTTAAAATTTACCAGGTCTATTTATCAGGTAAGAAGTACAAAAATTATACAACAAAAAGTAATCATCAAATATGTATTAATTATTACCAAGCAATCAGATTACCTTTACTGCACTTTGTATATAGTCACTTCTTTTGGCCTTGCCTTATTAAATAAACTACATCTCTTTGAGGTTTTAAGGTTTAATGTGATCTGAATGATGAATCTCAGTTTTTCACCAGTCAGCCGATCTAACACCATAATATGGCCTATATATCACATTGAATTGAAAAACTATTGGGGGTTATTCACTTAGCTACCGAAGGCAGCCGAGTGAACAACCGAGCCGAAGTGAAGTGAGCCGAACGCTGTTTGGGCTATTCACTTCAACCCTGTGCGGCTGATTTCAGCCATACATCGGCTAAAATCAGCCGTACATTGGCTGCCTTCGGTCAGGCGAACATGCTCTGCAGGTTGGGCTGAGCAAAAGTGCAGGAGTACTTCGACTCAGCCGATCCAACATCAGCTTGTTATAAATGTGGCCACTATTTAGAAATGTCATAACAGGTGCTTATATATTATAATTATCAAACCTATATAAGTTACCAGTTCTAGTAGGTAAAGGATAAAAGAAACATGGGAGTCCAAACAAGGGAATAAAACTTAAATATAAGCTCAGATCAGAAACACTGTTCGGCTATTCACTTCAGGCTGGTACGGCTGATTTCAGCCGTATATCGGCTGAAATCAGCCGTACATCGTGTGGCTTCGCGTGGCTTTGGGTCGGCCGAACATGCTCAGCATGTTCGGCCGACCCAAAGTGCCGAAGGAGTTCGACTCAGCCGATCCAACATCTGGATCTGCTGAGCCGAACCTCTGGCAGGCTACTCACTGCTGTTCGGGCTATTCTTAAAGATGCCGAACAGCAGTGAGTGAATAGCCGAATGCCGCCGAGCGGCATTCGGTTCGGCTGTTCTGCTCGGTCTCTCTGTGGGACCAAGCAGAACAGAAAAACAGTTAAAAAAGTAGAAAAATAGAAAACGATTGTGCGCAGCTAGCAATGACAGCTAGCTCCGCCCAACAGTTTTCTATTGGCCGGTGGTTCTGCTGCCGTCAAAAAAAAGGAGGAGAGAAACACTGCTTTTTCTTTTATTTTCTTATTCTGACACGGAGCGGTGTCAGAATAGAAAAAAATAAAAATTGGGCCATAGGAATGCATTGCTAGATCCCTATTGGCTATTTCAATTTGCAATAGCCAATAGCAAACTAGCATTGTACCCGCCCTCTGTTGCTGTCAATCAGTAGTGGACCTAATGGAGAACTGCAGCAGAGGGCGGGTGCAATGCTAGTTTGCTATTGCAAATTGAAATACCCAATAGGAATCTAGCAATGCATTCCTATGGCCAAAATGTTTAATTTTTTCTCTATTCTGACACGGCTCCGTGTCAGAATAAGAAAAGAGAAGAAATAGCAGTGTTTCTCTCCTTGGTGGCCGGGAGCTGGAGACTCCCGGAGCGCCAGGGAGAGTTTGCTGTCTGGAGATCAGTGTCCCTGGTTAGCTGGTAACCAGGGACGCTGATCTCTCTGTAAGTGGCAGGGGCCAGCCGTAAGATCACGGCTGGCTCCGCCCAGCTGTCAGAAGCAGGCTGTCGGCCGGCCATATGCGTTCGGCTCGACTGAGCCGCTCGGCCAAGTTGCGGAGCTGTACGGGCTATAGTGAATAGCCCGTACCGCAGCCCTTCGGTTCTACTGAACCGAAGGGGTCCTGGGGCCGAAGCTAGCCGAAGGATCGGCCGAAGCTACGGCTAGATCCTTCAGCTGCTTCGTGAAAAGCAGCCTTACATATTCTCCCCTTATTCTGGTTGGATCCTTATAACTCACTACTTGGATTTCAATTAAATATTAAAAAAGAATAATATGTTTACAGAAAATCCTGGGAATAAAAAAAGACTAGAATACTACTATAAACCCAACAGTACTCAAAGAATCTTTAGTAGTTCCCAATTACATGGAAAATAGCATACAAAATCCTCTTTTTCTAGATATGCGGCTGTGACCTTATCTCTGCTTTGGAATCCGGGAATTTTTTTAAAATAACAACTACTTTGCAATGCAAAATCTGAAAGGCAACTTAGAATTTAATGGAATTGAAAGGCTACACCCATTTCACAACTAAATATACATATCTCATATTTGTTCCTGCTCTGGTTCCCAACAACATTGTACAAGTTAGAAATACAAATAGACTAGAGCTGCAGCTAACGATTATTTTCAAAATCGATTAGTTAGCCGATTATTAGGTTTGATTAATCGGTTAAACTAATACCAGAACAGTGCACACATTTTTTTAAATAGCTGGAAAAACACCCCCTCAAAATTAAACATTAAGGGAGATAGAACTATGTCCCAGATCCACTACAGGTAACCTACAAGTACTCACCAAGGTCTTGCTTTCCTATTCACTAAATCTTACCTAACACTCTATGTTTCATGGGGTATACTATACCCAAAAAACTGCTACATGTTGTGGGATTGAAAGCTTACTTGTGTGTACTAGCGTAGCCAAGGCAATAGCCTTTATCAATGGTTTACAATGTCTTTATTTTCATGTAATCTTAGATTGCTGCACCATGTCAGTGCACCCTTTGTGTTTATGTACATATCTGTTTGGACTGCAATAACATCACCTGATATAAAAGAAATCATCTATGATTGTAAACTCAAACTCCATTCATGTTTGCATTATTTGAAAATAAATACAACAATCAATGTAATGTTCACATATTGTAATCACATCCAAATTTAGGCTTGTGTTTTTTATATAGGTAGATTTCATATTTAAATATCTGTGAATAAACATTTTCTTCTGGTATACATATACTGTAAGAATAACTGATACAAAGACTAATAGATAAAAACATAGTATATACTCTTATAATATGTAATGCTAAAAGCAGGAATGAAGAGGTATATTTTAATTTGCACATCTTGCCTTCTATATTTGATGGGATGAATAGATCATATAGATTGTCACTTACAGGAATGCGTACATAGTCCTCAACCTCTGCACATAGCTGGGACACCTCAGAACAGAAACACTGAGAACAACCGAGAGGGTTTTCACCGTGCAGAGCGAAGGTTCCACCTTTACACTCATTGCAATAACTCCCGATCACATTGTCCTGTAAAACAGACACATACAAAGGGCAATCCATCAGTTATAATGTTACTGACAAATGTTGTTCTTTAGCTACTAAAATAAATAGCTTAAATTCAAACTCTATGCTACCTAACACAAATATAATGCTATGTAGGATGATAAGGCAAAACAGAACAACAAGAAACAGGTTCAAAGAACTCAGAATTAAAAGAACATTTACAAAAAAAATATTATAATGGGTGAAAATCTGCCAAAAAAAACCTTAAAGCCCAGCTGAACTTTCCGTTTCCAGGTGTATCAAAACAATTGCTATGCAAAGTCCTACAGTTTGTGGTCTTTGAAAAGCAACCACAGACTGCGCAAAAAGCCTGTCCCTGAACATTATGCTGTAGTGAAAGACCCTTGCGTTAAAAGCCTGTCCCCAATCACTATGCTGTAGAGAAGGACCCTTGCCTAAAAACAGTGTCCTCAATCACTATGCTGTAGAGAAGGACTCTTGCTTTTGTGTGGAAGCAGTGGTCACTCTGAAGTGGTCTGACATGCCCCCTGCTAGATCTCTCCAATCAGCAGGAAGCATGAGCTTCTAATGAAAACATTTTTTTTGCGGCAGATAAAGCTTTCTTCTGGTGGAATTTAATAATCACAGTTTTTTTCTACATAATGGAAAAGAGACCACAAATTTGAGGTTACTTACATTTATCTTTTATTTTGTTCATTTTAAAGAAATTATCCCATAACATTTGTGGTCAGTGGAATATTACCCCATCCCCCCCACACACACACCTTAACAAAATAACCCCACAATCATTGGTGGTCAGTAGAACTTTAATAGCCTCCACCTTCACCTTTAGTCTGCTGAAATCCTCCATTCTGCTGTGTTTACAAACATGTTGCCCATTCAAGATGGAAAAAGGGGAGCTCCCTCCGTTGTGAATGGGTTGAATGTTTGTAATCACAAGTGATGGGTGTGGTTGGTTCACAGTGACCACAAGGCCCATAGATACCCTGATTGGCTCTGTAAATTGTGCCTGTAATCTTAGGTTGCCAATGACATCTCTGACCAAAGCCATTCATGGGTGCACTGGCTGCCCATGTGCATTTTCTGCAACCATTTTAAAATGGCACTCCAGAAAATAGTGTCCATCTATCCGCTGTTCTAATCTACAAACTTTGACACTTGTATCTACAAAGTTGGAGATGAGGGCCCACCTTTCTGTTGACCTATTACTATGTGAGGCATTACTGACCAATAATAAAGTATGAGAAAGGGCCATTGGGCTCCACACACTCTATAGTAATGGGGGTCCCGGAGCATATTGATGCATGCGCCTACTTTTTTTTTATGACCAGTGTACATTGTCAAAACAATAAAGCTTGGTCATCAACCAACCTCCAGTCTGACCGAGTAAAGAAGAACCACACTGATGAGGCCATATTTCTCTACTACCTGCCTGCCTGGTTAAAGCACTTGAAAATGCCATGTTCGTGTTGCATTGAGAGAGCACAGAGGGTACTATAATCTGAACTCATGATCATTTAAAAAAGGGCTGACAATCAATATTTAATATTATAACACAAGGATTCTATGAAAAAGTTGGCTTACTTTTATTAAAAATAAAATTATATACATAGATGGAAAAATTAACTAAGCAAAGTATCCCCCATCGGTGCCAAACTATAGTAAATAATGTATCTAGGCTTATATATATGTACAAGTATATATTGTCAACACACCACTAGATGGCAGTGTTTGAGCAACATAAAAGAATATCACTGCATTAAAAAGTTATTCATCTGAAATACAGATCCTTAATGCTTAATCTGATGTGCATTGCACTACAACGTTTCAACCAAAAGGCATATCTAGTTTCACTGCAACTGAAAGTATGTAAGAAAATGTATATATACACAATTATTAGGTTCTGAGGATCATTTACACAAAAACACATTTTGTGTGCCAGAAAGATAAGTAGTGTACATTTACCTTACAAGCACAGTTACCAGTTTCTTCTCCACAGCTACACATCTTCTGTTCATCGTCACACCAAGCAGACTGGGTACCTTTTACATCACAGTCACAGGAGATGCAGCTGGGGTATTTTCTGTATCCAAATAGACAAGTATTGCATGTCTGGCCAGCAAACTCCTTCCGGCACAGACACTGGCCAGTAGTAAGGTCACACTGTAGACTCGAAGACCCATCGGTGCTGCAGTTGCATTCCTAAAATGAATCATTCATATCAATGTGCCACAATTAATGGGGTTCATA